TCGTTATAGTATATTTCAACCCTATGTCTCAAAAAGTGTTTGCTACATTTCGGCATTTGTTACTTATGTCTGAAACCAAGGGATTTGAATCTCAGCTTAGTGAAAAAATTTAGTTTTTAATTCGGGAGAGCTTTGTTTTCCCTATCTTTGGTTTACCTCTTTTTATTGACATTGTTATTTTTTTGATAAGTTGCTTCAGGGTATTTTCACAAACATAATATGATATAACTTAAGGTGAACATATGATAATAACTTAAGGTGAAATTTTTCTCCATCGTTTAAATATGATGAAATCATTGGAGACGTGACATTGCACCAGCAATTAATTGTACGTCGAATAAAATCTTTATGCCCAGCCATTATCAGTAGTCTGTCTTAACAGTTTGCTTTCTTTGCACTGGTACCCTCGACAGCCAATTTAAATTGTGTCCAGGATCCATAGCCGCAAAATGTCTTATATGTATACCAAATATTTAGAAACACAACCTGCGGTAATGAACGCTGTTTATTTCAGTGTTGTTGTGATAGTAATTACAAATAATCTATGTAAACAGTTTCACAGATAAAGCAAGACCATGACCAAAGGTATACTTAACAAAAAGATTCAAAATATTCATGTTCGTAAATGTTAAAATACACTGGTCATCAAAATTAAGAGATCATGACAGAAATGAAACGTAACTGACATGTAATGAAACTTATTAATAGAAATTTGTATAAAAGTATTAGTTAACATCAGTTACAATGTTTCGCAGTTGATTATTCGCAAAATATTGAAATTAAAATCAAATATATGGAAACTGAAAAATGATGGAAACATTAAGTCACCTCTTGTGCAAAAAATTTTTTCTTTAATATGGTGTATGATCACCTCGAACAAATATGAATACCTCAAATCTCGATTTGATAGACTTTACCCAAGTGTTCATCAAGTCTTGTAGAACTGCACGCCACTCTTCTAAAAGTGAACTTTTAGGTTCCTGGGAGGATTAGGAGAAAAATCTGGTCCTGTAAGGCATCCCACACATGCTCAGTCAGGCTGAAGTAGGATGAATAAGGTGGCCAAACCATTCGAGTGATATCTTCTGTTTGCAAGTATCCTGACACCACATATGCTGGATGAGGTCGAGCAGTGTCATCCATTAACAAAAACTCTAAGCTAACTGCCCCTAAACAGTCTAACTTGGGGTTCCAGTACCTCGTCCACATATCTCTGAGCGGTTACAGTACTTCCTTGAAAGATATGCAACGCAGTGCAGCCATTTGATATGATTCCTTCCCAAATCATTAAACCGCAGTCGGGGAAGCGGGATATATCATGGACAAGGGAAGGCGAGTTGCGTGTGCCTTAGCTCTCTCTCTAGACCAAAATACTTCTAGAATCTAGAATCACTGTTCAGGTTATATGTGGGCTCGTCAGTAAACAATACTCGAGCCAGTCACCTTGGCTTCATTGAACATGACAACGGCATGAGTTTAAACGGGCCGCTCTAGAAGCTGGAGTGAGTGGTACACAAATCATCGGTTTTCTCGCATACAACCTAACCTCATTAAGACTAAAAACCAATAAGTACTTTTCACAAAATAATCTTCATGTAAACTGCGCGAAATCCCTAAAACGCATGATTATAAATACACGGTTAAGGGAGACTTTCAGCAGTAGAACGGCTAATTCGAGTTCCTGTGAAAGAGTGAATGTCTAAAACCAAATTTCTTGAAGCCGACAACGACAGAATACGGTCTTCTGATGCAGTTGTTGCTCGTGGTCGCTCTTAACCAGGCTGTCGATCAACTAAATGATCCAGTGCTTTACGAGAGCCTTCAAACTCTTGATATGTCATTTTCAGGGATATTCAAATCTTGAGCGACTCCCATTTGTGTTTAACATCTCTCGATTCTACGAATTATTCCCTATTTTTGACCTTCACTTAAATGATGCCTTTGGGCCATAACTGAATACTGATCACTCTCAGAAACCACATTCACTTTAAACAATACTACGGACCGCAACATGCATCCATTGCGCACTACATTCTGAATTTCCGAATTTGCATATTTCCGGCACTAATGTATGCGCGGAAGTGCAGTTTTGCGCTCATTTGTATTCAATTAACATAAATACAGCATTGCATTTGGTTGCAATATTAACTCAGTGAAGATATTTTTTCTCATTATCCTTTAAATTTGATGACCAGCGTATAATATAAGTTAATGAGTAAGTGCTTATGCACCAAAGTGTGCTTTCAGAGATATTGTTAATATGTATATTTCCTGAACACAATATTAAGATTATTCAAAGGAGGGATATATGCACACATTGTAAATCCGCAGACAATAATAATAAATTTTGTGAGCCTAGCCATGAGTCATCACATTCTTTAGATGTATTTGCAGTAATCTGTATACCAGTTGTTCTCTAGTCTAAGGTATCTCTCCTTCGTATAATGGTATACTCACCAGGGTACCTAGGCACAAGGCCTCACCCCTATCGAATAAAATTAAATTTCCTAATCCATATAAATATAAACGTTTAAAAAATAATTAGCAAGAAATAAATAATTATTAATCGTTTACATATAATTGTGAAAATTAGCACTGTAATGAAGCTGTTAACCAGAAAAACCGTAATGTAATTGCTGTAAAACATATTATGCAAAGGGTAAATGTGAAAGCTTTGGTGCTTAAGTAAAGTATAAGAAAGAAAAGTGAGCATATAACAAGAGCCGGCTTATTATTATTAGTAAACGGTTTTACAGAATACAACAAAAATTTGGTTAAAATGTATTGCAGCAGAATAAACGGTACTAAGGTACCGTACTGGTCTACGGTATATTCTCTTGTTATATATTCAAACTTTTTTGCCTCATGCACCCCTTCCAACATTATTAGACGATCATTCCCCCCCCCCATCTCCAAAACTGGACAAATGCATATACATTTATTTAAATTTAGATTATTTTTTAATGTGTTATATAAATTAAAGAGCCCATTAGAAAATGTTGCTGTATGTTTAAAATTATTTTTTGGTCTAACTACCCTAAACGACATTATGCGTAAGGCGTCCCCTTAAACAATAAACAATGGCAATTGTTCTGTTTAAAACTCCGCATTAATTATCTTACTCCTTAAAAAATATATGTCTCTATTACAGCCTATATAAGAAAGAAAATAAGTATTGTCCCTTTTCCGGGCCCACCTCATTTTTCCGCATTCATTTTCAACTCAGACTGAGTTGCCGTATGGTCTTATTTTTATTCGCTTGCTTGCAAATTACATGAAGGAATAGCTACTCTGAATGAACCATATCGTCTATTTGCCTCCGTGTTGTTTCTTTCTTGTTTAATCTTTTAGCTGTTAACAGATTTAATGTCTCATTTCCTTCCATTTGTATCAGACCTTCCTTATTTTTTTAAATTTTACGTAATTTCTCGCCTGGCCCCGTTTTCCAGTACGAACCAATCGTTTCACCAAATACCTTCGTAACCACGCAATCCTCCCCGCCCATTATAAAAACTCTGTTAGGGGATCAGATATACATACTGGTTTACTTGAGCTGCATCAAACTACACTTTTTATATCGCTTTCTGAGCGCTTATTTTTCCTTCTTTGCTTGTAACCTGCTCCCGCGGCTTAAATCTGCTCCAACCAGTGGCTTGGGCGATGGCCCGACCTTTCCTGCTATGCCAGCCTATTTTGGCGGTTTGGTCGTTGGCTCCTAATGATTTTTACCAATTCTTTCATTAGCAAATTTCTTTAAATTTACAGAATTTAAAGCCACATTTATGTAAGACAGTACCACCGGGGCTTCTGCCAAGAAAGGTTTATTTGAAATAGTAAAGAAAATCTGCTTTTTATGAAAGGAAGGCCCCACGATAAGATCTCCTATCAAATCATTCACTTTTGCGACTGATCTTCCGTCTTAGACGCTTTCAAAACAAGTCAGACTCTATTACTCCCCTTATAATAAATAACTCTTTTTATAAATTAATTTTGCTATTTTAGTTAGAACCAGTTCAGCAAATGGTTTTTTAATTAGTATGATTTCTTTTCTTCGTGTACCTTAACTACATCAACGTTTTAATACGGATTAAATACAACTACCCGTGTATCCTGTTTTTTTTCCATTCTTCTGAGATTCGTTCCTTAGAGCGACCATTGGAACTGAGACGTGCTTCCTATGATGCGTAGTTTGCGGCTAAAAATCCCCCAAACTCCCCCCCCCCCCTTATCAGTTTATATTTAAACAATAGTGATTAATAAACTATTTTATGACTTCTACTTTAATGAACAAAAGTTCTAAAATCTGCTTTTCCTAGTAATTTGCTCATACTGGAATTTCGGTGAATTTTTCATATTGTACAGTTGATAATTTAACTGGTTTTACGTTTACGACGAATAGTTCAGGTATCTATAATTTGCTGTCATTGCATTTATTTAGCGGATAATACTTATTATGACTGCGTTGATTTTTGGAGATGATATTGTAGTTTCTTTGCGCCTTAAAGACTAGACTGATTCTTGTAAAATGTCGTTTAGTATTCGAAAAGGCGAATAGTGACTACTTATAACTAGTGCGGTTCATGAGGGGCATATTACATCATTTTGGAAACACGTTATGATTGTAATGAACTGAGCTTTAAGTCTGATACTATACACACAAACGAACTATTGGCATATTTCTAAATAAAATGAAAGCAAAAAATATTAATTAAAATTAGGGTAAATTAAAATTCTAAACAATAGTGAAATAAGATGATTGCATTTTTAATAGCATGGCTATTGTTATGGAAACTTAAAATACCAAGCAACACCATTCAGCAAATACGGCTTTAAGGAAATAGAATATTTATGATATTTAAAACACTAGGCTCTTTGTCATTTAAAGCATCACTATTTTGAAGATGAAAACGTCAGCTATAAAACTAAATCTATCATGCAGTAATTAAAGTTTATAATTCATAAATATTTAGTTTCAAACTAATGAATCAAAACTTCATTACCTGTCACGTAGCTAGACTGGGAAAGAGATGATCGGTTTGATTGAGGATCATTGTCCGGATACCGAGTTGCTTCGTCATACTCTACGTGAGGAACTTTGTCATAGACCGCAGTTTCGTCATAAATACCCTCTTCTGCAGGCATCATAAGTTGTTTACTGGGGGAAAGGGAAGCTGTGAATGAGATCTTTTTTATCCATTCGTCCCTCTTTATAGCACTAGGAGCCTCAAATAAAAATACAGAGTCATCTAATAATTCTAGCCGGAAAACATATTTCTTTTTGTGGTAATCACTTGGTATAGTACATGCAGAGTTTATAATGTTAACTGGCGGTTCAGCAGTATTGTTCTCTATAAAGGATTTTTTGTTCTTAAAGAAACACAAAAGCTGTCCACAAAGTACAGTGTAATATGTTTTCCATTTCCTGGAAGTGGAGCGTTTCCCTCCGGCACTAAACTCTTTCTTGCGATCCAAGAAGCCTTCTGCGGTTGTAGGCGGCACTGAGAGTTTTTGTGAGAGAATGGACCTATTTCTTTTAATAACAGGAGTCGATACTTTTGTAGTCTCGGAAGGTGAAGTTTTGGGGAATCTTTTACTGCCCATTGGTTTGAAAACATAGTCATCTGATGGCAGTGATTCTAGACGTAAGTAATCATCATCAGACTCGCCTTTTTGTGTTACTTGGGTTTCTGTGCGCTCTCTTTCTCTTTCCTGTAATCAAAAATAAGTTATAGTACGACTAGAGATAAATTTTTAACTTAAACTAAAAAATTAGACCGAAAATTGGATTATCATACCTCTAACAATCTTTCTTCTTCTTTACGCCTCAAATCTTGCATTTTTTGTTCTTCAATCAGTTTCTGAGTTTCAGATTTTTTTCGTTCATCTTCTTGCCGTTTACGATAAACATTTTCCTCAAGCTAGAAAGAATGAAATTATTAATATACAGTTAGATAGAGGAGTTTTTGAGACATACTGTACGTTTAGTGTCGTAAAAATAATGATACACCAAAGGGCCATTACATTATGACCACCCTGTTAATAACATATAGGGCCACATTTAGCCCTCAAAACTGCCAGCACCCGACCTAGTATTGACTCCACAAGGTGCTGAGAGGTAGACTGAGGTATCTAATTCCAAGCGCTCACCAACTGGTCCTAGAATTCCCGCACATTGCAAGGGGATAGAGCTGGCAGCACGAATTTGATTTTCTAGATGGGACCACTAATGCTCTATTAGATTAGTGTCAGGTGAATTTGGAGGCTAAGACATGACTTAAAAGTCACTGGAATGTTCCTCGAACCACTCCCTTGACGATTCGACCCCTAGGACATGATGCATTATCCTGTTTATAAACACCATCCCCCACCGTAAATACTGTTGTCATGAATGGGTGAACCTGATCTGCAACGATGTTCACGTAACGCACAGACATCAGGGGCTGTTCTATGGGGATTATGTGCCCTAATGGGCTTCATGAAAACATTACCCACACCATAATACCCCAGCCATCGACTTGTCTCCGTCCAACTGTGCATCCAGGAGCTAGGATTTTGTTTGGAAATCGGCGTATTAGCTCACGCCAATCGATGTGATAGACCAGAAAACGTGATTCGTCGGACCATGCAACTTTCTTTCTGCCATTCTTCTAATGTCCAATTCCGATGTTTCTTGGCCCATGGCAGACGCAGCTGGCAATGACGTGCCATCAGTGCAAGGACATAATTCGGCCTTCGGCTGCGTAGGCCCATACGCAGCAATGTACGCTGTGCATTGTGTTGAGAAACACTGTCTGTGTTGCCACTGTTGTAGCTGGTAGTGATTTTGGCTGTTGTAGTTCTTCGGTCACGGCGAACAATGCGTAGCAGTCTCCGCTATCTTCTGGAATCAATGCGCCGTCGACAGACACTGCTGGCCGGCGACTTGTCGTTTCATCATCCATACACCAATTTTGATATGTGCTCACAACAACTGCACGTAAACGGCCCACTAAACGCGCCGTTTCTGATATTGATGTTCCCAGTCGCCGAGCCATATCGATTTGACCTTTATCAAAGTCTGATAAATCAGCTGCCCTCATTTCGCTAATCGCACAATGTTTGGAAAGAGTTCCAAGTTATTGCCGCGATTAGCATGCTTTGTTCCGACTGCCTTTCTTTAGATTGCTTCTGTGAGCGCTTCAGGTATTCAATGCTTCAGAGTCGGTCAGCAGGACAGGCTAGCAGAGGAGAGGCGCGTGACCAATAGTCACGTGGATATGCAGGAAGACGTGTTGGTGGAGAGGTTCCAAGGCGATGGTCTGCAAAAATACATAATATCTTGGAAAAAATACTGTAAGAAGTCAATAAAGTTTCTGAATAATAGTAGTAGAACATGTCTTCGAATCTATAAACGTGGTCTCTTTACAGAAATCTCCGTAGGTTACGTAAGATAAATCACGAAATGAGCAGGTGTGCAGTCACGTAATATGCACGCCCATCAAGATGAACATGAGGTGCAATATTTGGCAGATATACAAAAAGAAAATACGTAAGCTGGTTACACTGCAAAATAGAATACAATGCAGCAGAAAATGATCAATATGGTACTATAAAATCGAAGAAACTGTAAACATATTTACAGATACTTGATGCACAGAGTTCAGCGAAGTTTCACAGTTCACAAAGTTCTGGGTCAAGTGACGATGACGTCCAATGTCAGTGCAGTACGAAAGGTGCTTGGAAAGACGCTTTACTTATAGCCGCTTTACATACTCTAACATCAGTCGGCCACGCGCAATGATTTTGTTCCTGGGCGAGCCCATTGTTATAGATGGAAGGTATCATAATGTAATGGCTCTTCGGAGTATATTACAAGGTATTTCCCCCCTCCTTTCAGCAAGCCTTCGCAGTGTAACAGTAGCACACTCGGTGTTTATTCGAGAAGTGTAGGGTTCGAGTCCCGGCGAGGGTATTGCAAATTTTTCACGATTTCAGCTTCTGATGACTCAACAACATAAAAGTAAAAAACAGCATATGTTATTCTGATGTTCTAGCATATGTTATTTTTATGCATGCTTTAATGATATGTTATAGAACCCACATGATACAAAATTTCAGAAAAATCTTTGTTACTTTTTGTATTAATAAAATTTACTTACGCTTCTTTTATAAAAAGTATTTGGAAAAAAGAAAGTTTAATTTAGGTTCGCTGTGATAATGGAACATTTTAACTACTTATTTTCATTCGCGTGATTTCCCAAAGAGAAAAGAAGAAAATCTTTCATTAAAAATTAAGGCTATTCGACCAAAATATAGGATAAAAAGTGATGCATATTAAAAGCAAAGATTTATAATTAAAATAGAACTCAAAAATAAAGTTCAGAAAACCTAACCAATAGTTAATAACTACAGAAATGGGTCAATATTTTAATTCGATTTAGTACTTGTCCAAGAAATTTAATTCTGATGAGATCTAAATCGGTAAAGATATCTCGGAATAAAACAACAGAAGTTGCAAAATTTCTATTAAAGTCCATATATTTTAATTGTAATATTTATTCGTTCTATTTAAAGCCAAGATTTCAATGGAATACACAACTAAATATGAAATTTGTAATTCATTTTATTCTGAAATTTAACCAATTTAATATATTATCCATAAGGTACACCAATACAATCTTACATTTTAGAAATATTTTGCACCATTTTAAAGTTTACTGAACCCATAAAAGTCTTACATTATAAACTATTCCACTATAACTACTCAAATTTTATTTAGAGTGTAGCCACTTAAACTATTAGAATTTTGTTAGGAGAACTTATAATCGTCAGTAATGTACCAATACGCAGTTCAGGTAAGTTTTAATGTAATAATGTTTAGTGATATAACGTCTATAATTTTAAATTATCTTTCTCAATATATGGCCTTTTATCTATTAGAAGTATTCTATGCACATACCTTAGTCGTTTCCACAAGCTCTTGAAATTTGGCTTCATAAATATTTAATTTCTTTTCGAATTGTTCATGCTTAAGAAGTAGATATTCAACTTCTTCAATAGATTGACCAACATCCTCTGTTAGATTATGTTCTTGGCTTTGTAACCATGATTCTAACTCTTTCAGTTTTTCCTTAAAGAGCTGAAAAATATTCATTGAGGTAATAAATATAACAAAATGTAGAATCATTCCACTAATTAATAATTAATGAAATGAAATTAAAGTGGGCCTGAAATTTGCAAATATTGATGTAGAAAAATATGTGTATGAAGTACGACATTCAAAAATCTCGACAGATTTTCGTGATACTAAGAATATATTTAACTATCTTTGTAAAATTTTAGGAAATCTTATCATTTTGTTCCAAAACAACGGGAGCCCATTTAAAAGAAATCGTAAATAAAACTGATTTGAAAGAAACTGACAAATGTGATAAAGTTCTGACCATTGTAGCTAGCAAGAGCTTGATAGGAAGCTTGCCAAGCCGACATGAAATGCTTTGGTACTATGTTTCTGCAGTTCAGTGCTTAAGAAGAATTAATTAGCTGTTGTAAAATTAAAGACCCAAGAACTAAGTTTGATTCATCCAAGTTGAATCAGCGCTTGACTTGAGTTTTGATGGTTGTGAGATTTAATTAGTGAGTTTATTTCCTACATCTCTAATTTTGAATTTTTCTGTTACATTCTACTTGTCTAATAAATACTACTTATGTTTGATTTGTAACGTTTTGTCATCATGCAATCTTCAGCTATTCTGTGTTATTAAATGTGTAAATCCACTGTGATTTGAAATAAATTGCATTATTGTTATTATTATTATTATATTATGAAGCTTGCGTTATTATCGAGTTTTGTTTGAAAGCGACAGCACACCGGAAGATTCTGGCAGTGGATAGTGTTAGAGACACCAGTGTAAGAAAGAGGATAATAATTTCTTATAAAATAACATAAGTTTTTATATACTAAAGTTTCGTATTACTTGTTTAATCACTTTCTAAAAATGTTTGTACACTCGTGAAGTTAATTTGGTTGCAAGTTAATCGCACCCTTCTAGATGATTGTTTTATGTTCTATTAACTAAATAAATTAAATTTATTTTTCTCCTTAAAATTTTCTCCATGTCCTCTATACCTCCTGTACCTATTGTATTTGGTAATTAAGAGATGGAACGTATTCTTAAAGGTTAATTTTTTTCTTTTAATTATGGTTTAGAAAAGAAAACTAACCTGTAAATCAAGATTTTGTTCGTACGTTAATCGTCTTCCTTCCCATAGTTCTAGAAGGTCTTTCATCGATGAAGCAAGAGCGTCGATTTTCAATTGAATATCACGAGACATAAAATGACCGCTCGCAATTATTTCTTGTCCTTTTTCTTCGAAGTTCTTAAAGGAACGTGTTCGAGCATCAATTTCTGATTTATATCCTTCGTGCTGTGCTATTAGTGCTTCACAAGCTGCTACATCTTGAGGTATTTCATTGCTTGTAATAAGGGCAGACATTTCATAAATCCAAGCGCTGCATAAAGGAAACATTTCATGAGCTTTCATGCTATGCAATATCACATTTGAAATAAGTTATTAGAAACGTTCATAATAAGTGATCTTAAAGCAGAAAATACTAAGAAAGAAAACGAGATTTTCATGTCGCTTTAGAAAGTTAATGCATCCAATTATTAAGACGTTTTCTTCTTTCTTTTATGCCCTGTAACTGCCTCATATTTAATGAAAGATGTCTCCTACAAATTTAAGTAACGCTGCAAAATCTATCATTCTATTCTAACTTTTTTATAATTGACGTATCCGAAATACTGTACTGTAATCATTCTGATCAAGTTGTAGGGTTTACTTTATCTTGTGTATGTGTTTAACTAAGCAAAATTCGTCGTTAATTTTTTAGAAAAGTTTTCTGCATTTCGAGAAAAGCTGTTTCAGCTCAATTATTTAAATTGTAAATTATTCTGCAGAATTCAGCTTAATTTTTGAAGTTTTGATTTATTTCAAACTGTCCTAGCACATATCAGCTTACCATACTCTTTTTTAATTTCCTGAAAATACATTTACGTAAATAAATATTTAAGTTTAAACAGGTCACGAATCTATGTAAATAATATATGCTTGGTAGCATGCTTTTTAAAATTAATGCTATTTCGTGAATATGCCTAATGGGCTTGTCTTAAAGCTATTAAAATTCAAGATTTCTATGTTATTTTACGGTCTCTTTAGAAATAAAACCCATCTTGTTTAAATATTAAATATATAATTTAGTTACAAGGAAAATGTTCAGGATTTAGGAGTTTGTCTTAACAAAGGGGCAGAATTCAAGGAGAAATGTTTCATCTTATGATTTACATTATATGAATTAACATAGTGAAATCTTACATAGTATGACTAAGCAAATGGCTAACTTAATTTAATCTGGACGTTTGAAAAATATTAAGACCGTATTTTTTAGAAAACTTCATTTTGAAATTGTTAAATTTGATACAAATGAAAATTTAACAATTTCAAAAGGCGATCAAATTTGAGACAAAGGCTATGAGATCTATATTAAGGAGATAAGGAACTTCCGAGCTGAGTTCGCGAACATTCTTATAACCTGAGATCAAAGCATTGAGAAAGGTTAATGTCTAATATGCGCTTGGAAATATCTGGTAGTAAATATTTTAGTAGCCCTATCACTGGCCGTAACACTCACGCCTAACCTGCCCCGACCATACCACCCCATTATGAGCATCGCTGAGCCAGGACAGAGAATCCACTACCGAGTTCAGCTTGGTGAGTGGATGGAGTTGAGCTTAGTGAGTGGATGGGAAACCACTAAGAAACTGCTGATACCCTCCCCATGTCGGGAGGCCGCATGCAGCTTGGTGGCATAGGTTAGTGTCTAACAGCCATATCTGTTTAATGAAATTTCAAAAAAATATTGTAGATTACAGTGTTACTACATTTAATACATTATAGTTTCCCAACGCGGCCATAATTGTCCACCGGAAGGCGCTTAGAAAATCCAATGTGGCGTTACTACACCGAGAAGCAGTAAAGGAGCATTAAAAATCGAGCTGATAATAAGAACACGCTTGGAAAATTCGGTTCCTTAAACAATTAAAAAAAAAAAAATTGAAAATTCACTTGATTATATAAATATTAAAATCATCCATCTTTACAGGAATCATACCAAACCGTTTCAGTTGACCGGTCGCATAAATTGGTCAAAGTTGCACGTAGTTACATTTTTCTATCCTAAGTAATCGGAATTTACAAATTATCAGTTAAATATTCTGATAGAAAAAATTGATTGGAATGATGAAAACAATAATTACAAATCTGTACTTTTTGAGATATCCGGAACGCTCAAGTAGCATGCTCTTTCAACGCATACTATTGCGTGTGCTGTGGCAGAAATTTGTGCATGTTCCCCACGTCCATTATAAAAATATTTTTAGAAATCTTTAACCGTTGCATTCTATTTACGTTTTGCAAGATGAATTTTAATTAATAGTTTGATAGAATGCAAATTCAGTAAATATCTAAAAATGTTGAAGCGATTTTAGTCAATGCTTACAGATTATTGAAATTATATTTCATATGCCGGTGATGGCGAACCTATGGCACGCGTGCCACAGTCGGCACGCAGAGCCTCATCAGCTGGCACGTGACTAAAATATTACTTCCTTAATTAATAATCCCAATAAAATGATGCTATGTAATTTAAATAAGTGTTTTAGTTTGTTCTTGAGCGTTTCACTTATTTACTTATCGCATAATACCACTGGCATAGGGCCTAAGCCTAGATATAACATTTTCATATATCGCCATAGAAATGATATACATATTTACTGACCCAATTTATGACGACTAAATTGTTTAGGTCAATCATATTACTTGTTATATGGCAAAGAATACGCCAAAGTTGAAGCAGCTAATGTTTGCTAAACGAATTCAAATTTATTGCAGACTACCGGTGAGTTTTAATACTTTCAATGTTAAATAGACTTTCTATACTCCAGGTCTTGAATCCTCACAAATGACTTCAGCAAAAAAGGCAAAATTCAGCATGGATAGTGGACGATCATTTCAAGAGACATAGACAGAATCATTTGGAGTTATTGAATACAATAGGAAAGTATTATGCATTCTGTGCGGGGAAAGTGTTGTGTGTCGTACATCTAGTGTCAGACGGTACTTTAACACCAACCACAAGATTGCTGCCGAACTTGATGAAGCTGAACGGAAGGTGTTTATTGAAGGAAAATTGAGGAATTATAATTACCAGAAAGTTGGTTTTTTGCAATTATCTTTCTAAATCAAAACATCTAACAACTGCCAGCTTTCAAATTTCACTGTGCCTGACAAAACATGGTAAACCGCTCTCCGATGATGATTTAATCAAAGAGGTTTTAGGCACGCCCTCCCCCCCCCGCAAAAAAAAAAGTTTTGGGCACGCGGCCCCAAAAAGGTTCGACACCACTGTATATGCTGTTGTTACAGGGGTAGCGGGGCGCTGTGCAAAATAAAACCTGGAAACGTAGGTAATGAGAAAAAAAAAAAAAAAATAAGTGAAGTCTTTTATAGGCGGTCTTAAGAATGAACCTTCAAAAATAACTTTGGTTGATGTTGAAAATTTAACTTTTGAATGAATCATGTTGAATATTTGTTGAGCTGTTAAGGAATCTTACTGAACTCTGTCATTTCCTAGAAAAGTTTTTTCCAAAATTTTTAAACTCGGAACACTTTTTAAGTCCTATAATTTTTAAGGAGCCTTAAAGTAAACTTGGGTTTTATCCATAATAAATTATAACATATAGATCTATTAGATAAACAAAATAAACATTTACATTTATTTCGCCTTTTTCTATCATATCTATAAAACACGCTTTTCAATTTTTTATTTTACAAAAATGACACATAAAACTAATTAAATGAAACAAATATAAAAAAATTGAAACATTTTAGTATTCAATGAATTCGATGTACATGAGTCTTTGAATTACAAATTCTTTTAATATCAGACATAATACTAGAAACCTGAATTTTTATATGAAAGGCAACATCAAATCGCTTTCTATATCTGGATTAAATTGCAGCGTAATTTGGAAAACCTGCCACACACAGATACGTTGTCGCAAAAGGACGTAAAATATAAGTAGCTCCTTTTTATAAGTTGGGATATTTTTTCGGACCAACGCATCCAAAATTCTTTTCGCGGTCGTTCTTTAAATATTTGTTTTGTGCCGGAATCAGTTATCAAGTCAATAAAACACCAGTTTCATAATTTTTCCTGGAACACTTAGTAACTGTTTGCGGAACACTAGTGTTCCACGAAACAAAGCTTGGGAAACTCTATCCCAGAGTGTCATTGACACATGTAAGAATTCTGCGAAGTGTACCATAATGCTTACTCAAATATTTGTTCTACTAAGGAGAAGGAGAAAAATCTAAACATCTGCAGGCCGCAGATGCCGATCTTTATGAGCTAGGTATGTAGAGACATTAGGTCTTTTTTTTTTTTTTTTCCCCTCCTCCTCTAAAGCAGGAGACTTGAAAAATGAGCAATGCCCTCGCCGAGACTCGAATCACGGACTTCTCGAATACGCGTCGAGAGTGCTGACCACTACACTAAGAAGGCGGGAGAAATGCCTTACACACTCCTCCTTTTAAAGGGTGACTGGGGATTAATCGCCAAATCCTGGTGATAGAGAATCATCATTCACCACCTTTTTTAGTTCGGGCGCAACTGTAGAGACATTAGGCCTTTTTTTTAAAGCAGGGGACTTGAAAAATGAGCAATGCCCTAGCCGCGACTCGAACCATGGACCTCTCGAATACGCGTCGAGAGTGCTGACCACTACACCACGAAGGTATGCTAAGAAGGCGGGAGAAATACCTTATAGGTACTTTTGAATTTCGGATAGATTTTTAAGACTTTTTTAATGAATATTCACTCTAAAGAACCAATAGAGAAATAAGTAAGGAAATTAGGTTTTCCATGTTCTACAGGTTAAAGCATCTGGCTATTTGTGAAAGCTGCCTGAGCATCTATTCGAAAGAATCCTTATATTTCTCAAGAGGGGAAAAAAAAGAAAGAAACGATGAAAACACGCATATTTATATAAATCTCGATGTATTCACTTTCTTAAAGTTATGTGAGGTTTATAAAAGGATGGAAAACCAAAACATAACTTGCATTTCTTTCGCATTTAACCCCTCCCCCAGAAAAAACAGTGTTATGACATCAAGAGCTGTTTGCCAATGAGTCATTGAAAACACATTGACATATTGCATTGAAATTATTAATTGGAAGTTAGTGTATATGATGACTTACTGAAATTCTCTCGCTTCGTCGAAATACGATTGAAGTTGCTCAGCTTGTAACAATTTGTCTTTTCTTATAGTTGCTTTTTCAGAGCACTTCCTCCAAGCATCTTTGACAACTTTATATTTTTCTCTAATTTGTTCCTCAGAATCTGGGAACTGTGATGTTAAATTGCCAACTTCTCCTTCTAAGGCTCTTACTTGTTCGTCAATTGCTTTCAGATCTCCCTGCGAAAATACGAAGGTTGCAGTGATTTTGTACAAAATATAAGCCATAAAGCTATCCAGTGGGAATCTGGATCTGTAAAAATCTATATAAACAGAACTTTCTGGAAATCTCTTTGTTTTCGGCTATAAATACCTTCGGATTTGTGCTTCATGTAACCGTATAGATATCGATTTGTCTCTTAAAAAATAAAAAAAGAATACAAAATGGATTTATCACGTGGTTACTTATATTTCATGATCTCAAGTTAGGGCACTTATATTTCATGAGCTCAAGTTACGGCACTCGATGAAGCTAACTCGGGAAAATATACGCAAATTGATGAGTTAAAAAATGATCTAATGCGATTTAGAGAAGTATATAAAATTAAAATAAATGAAATTGCTTTCATTAATGATGACAATTATAATGCTTGTAATTTTATAGCTTCTGAGTAAAAGGTACAAACATTTGGCATTGTAATACTGAAGTAATTAAAATAAGGTTTTCCTTGGTATCTTAAAAGGGTTTCTTGATTCCTAATTCATAGGAGAATGATTAAGAGATTTACATGCACTGAACTCTACCTCAAACGAGTATCTGGTTTAAAGCAAAGCACTTAAGCTGATTTTAGTCTTGTGCGAATTTTTCTCTACATACATTTCTCGCATTTTTATATTTGTGTAGTGCCGCTGTCTGTAGGAAGACATCATTTGTTTAAGAAAATGTAAGTAATAAACATTTAAATCTGAAAATAATTGAACTTACTTCTAAGGTGTCGTGATGCCTGAGTAAAGTCTTAATGCTTTCTAGATCATGCCCATAATTTTCGGATGACAGTACAACGTCCTTCTCATAAATCCAACTAACAGTTTCGTCTACGCTTTTGTTGAAAGCATGAATTAGTTTTGCCGCCTCCAGATCCTGTGAAGAGAAACAATCATTATTCTTTCAAACTTGGTTTTTATCATTGTTTAATGCCATTTATCTGGAATTTGGAAGAATCCTAGTTACAAAACAAAACAAACAAAAAAACAAAAACAAAAAAATAAATAAATAAAGAGGTTTCAACTGAAAGAATACATGATATTTACAAATGTAAAATAAAGGGTAAAGAGAGTAAGATATGAGAAAGTATCTTTTTGAATTTCGATTTATTATTCATGAAAGCAAATATTATAAATGGCCAAAATTTTCTTACCTGGTAATCAAGAAATAGGAAAGTGATAAGCTAGTTTTAAAGTTTTCCAAACAGTTTCAGGATTTTTATCAGCAAAACTGAACATCTGCCATTAATTTAGCCTACAATGTTTTTAAACTTCTGAACAACACTTTCCTCAGTACCTATTCGAACGAAACTTTTTGAAAAATGTTTGCTTTCAGAAATTTTTCGTAGTTAGATTATGCTTTACCTTATGTCCCGTTATATTTCCTTCTTACTCATTGGTTGATCTACGCAAAACATAGTGTCGAGCGGAACATTTTCGCTATCATCGCAAAATATTGCAGATAGAAGGCTGTCGTTCAAACTAGTTTTGAAGGAAAGCGTTTCCAGAAAATGTTTCGCCTTGCCTTTCGCAACCGCTGGTATGATTCGAACTTTACTATTTTGCAATTTCAAATCGATATTTTCATATAAAAGGCTTCAACGCGAAGTTCAGGATCCTGCATAATTAGATGCCAGTTGGCTTGTTATTTGCAGAACTGCACTACTTCATGCAAAATAATTCAGAAGTTTCCGAACTCGAATCTGCAAAGCACTTTGTTTTGTCTCTAATTTGCTGTTGATTTAATTAAGGCAAAACACACTAGGGCTATATTCCAAGGTAGGAATGTCATCGTAAAGTATATTGTAGGCGAAAAGTGCTCGTATTCACGTTACGCTAAGGAGAAAATGTACAGTATTAACCTGTAAGATAACTAAACAACAACAAGAGAGAACAAAAAATGTTCTTTTACAGAAAATGCTAAAAATGAACACCATCTTCTTTAACACACAATCACGTAAGTTTCTCACCACTCCATTCAAATTGATGATTGGGCATTTTCTATGGCTTTTTATGATGATGTTCCGCAGATTCTGTAGCTTCTAGGCAGACGAAATCTTTGTTCATGCGTTGAGTTTATAGCGCACTGATTGTTCTTTGTTCCCACCTCCCTCTTAGCGGATTTGGTGTTCTGCCCTGTAATATGCTTGAGCTTCTTAATGAAAGTCAGACACATTTACTGCAGATAGCAACACTCGTAAATATTTTTCATTGTTAGAGTAAATAATATTTACTAAAAAAATTCAAGGATTTTTGAAATCGTATTGCCTATAATTGCTTCATAAGATTCCAACAATTTACGAATTTTGCTCTTTTTTTCTTGGGGGCGGGTCACGATATTCTGTTTCTTTTCCGGTCACTAACATTGCTCCCATTTTCTTTTCTCTTTTATTTACACTCCTTTTCAGTTTTGTTTTGATGCACTTTATTTCATTTGTAGAAACTTTATAGTGAGAAAAACGACACATTTGTTTATTCACTTCGAAACAGAGCTTAAGATTTGGGGAAAATGGCCAGTTCATAAATTTTACTGCATGTGTGTTAAGTAATTAACATTTATAAAAAAAGAAGAGAAATGCGCCAAAGTAAAACATAAAATTAACAAAGTAAAAATCTTGTGTATGGCATAGATTTTTATCAAGACTCTATCGATTTCGAGGGCATTTCGAGATACAGGTCCCTCTTCGTCAGAAGCAAAGAAATCTGCAACGAAGCTATGCCTGTATTTGTACTTAAAACGAGTAAAGCGAATCAGATGGTAGCACCATTTGTCGGTAGAAATAGCAATGAAAATTGATAAATTAAATCCGAAGTTCTGTGTTTTCAATTTTCGTTACTATTTTTGTCGACAGATGACGCTACCTTCTTATTCACTTTACTCCTTTTGGGTATAAATAACAGTGTCTTTCCTTTCGTTGCACATTTCTTTCCTCCTGATAAAGAGGGACCTGTATCTGTACGAAATTGACAGAATCTTGACAAAACAGAAGTTTTTACTTTCCTAATTTTAAATTAACATTCATATAAAATATGCGCATGCGATTTTAAAATGATTAAAACGCTCTAATCAGTTACTTTATTCTCATGTACACTCTTAATAGAACATACACTAATGGCATATACAAGTTCGCTGTAAATCTTTCCCTTTTTATGCGTTTATGCTTATGCAATTTCAAATAAGATTTAAAATATCAGAATTCAATTTTAGTTAAGATTCAATGTAAAAAAAAAAAAAACTGGGAACTGTTACATACTTTATACCGAGCTTCTGTGGAATCATTGCACTGCTGCCATATTTCCTCAAGCTCTTGTAAAAGTTCTTTGACGTTTTGAGATTCTGTATGGCCTTCGTCTATTAAGGTCTGCGCTTGCTGTTGGAGCTGATGAACGTTATTTTCATGTCCTCGTAGTCTGTTTCGGAAAATGTCGAGCTTTTGAAGTAAAGACTAAAAGAAACAAGAAATTTTATCAAGAAAGTATTTAACTTGCAATGAAATATATTTTATGAAATATAAATGACTCTGTCCAGCGGTACTTGTGTATAGCGGAGAATTGAAGATATAACATTTTCAGCGACGCTTGGAAGAATTTAACGCACCTAAATCCAATATAATAACCGAGAAAGTTGTTTCAAACTTCTTTAACCAAAACCGTTTTATTAACAAGTTAAATTCATTTAATTATGTTCATGTTATAAGGTATTTCTCCCACCTTCTTAGCGTACCTTCGTGGTATAGTGGTTCTGCACGCTGAGCCGGTATTCCAGAGGTCTGTGGTTTGATTCCCGGCGAAGGCGATTGCTCATTTTTCATCTCTCCGGCCTCTAAAATGAAATCCTAATGCCTCTACAATGTAGCCCATAGTTCTTTAAGATTAACTGTCGCTGTTCAGGGAGGAAAAGATATGACTGAATTTTAAATAAGAGTTATTAATAGTTGTGGAACCTTTCCTGCATATAGAACGGCATGGAAAGTTATGATAGATGGTCGTATATATGGATCAGGAGCTATGCTATCTAAAATATTCAACTTCTGTTGTGCACACCTTTACGTCACTGTGCTTAAACAAACTGATTAAAAAGAGCCCATACTTAAGAAGATATTAATTCCAATGCAAGTTACTTCCGTTCAGTTCCTTAAATGTTCTTTAATTTTTAAAAATACCTAAAGTCTTTGAAGTCTAGTAAAACAGCACGTTTTACAGGTATGGTGTGATTGTTTATGTTTAGAGATTTCTTATTAGTGTTTTATTTTCTAAAATCTATATTTCACCCACATTTAAAACAATTCTGTTTACTTAAATAATTACCAGAGTTCGAAAGGGTTCATCTTAATCAAAATATTAATTTATACCTTTCCCAATGCTATTTCTGTATATTTTAGATTTCTTTCTCATTTTTCAGGACAACCATTTGCAGTCATACATTTTATTTAAAAATCTTGATATTTATCACATTTTTAAAATAACTTTTAGTCTAAATTAATCATATTTTAAAATAATTTTTATTTAATTAATTTTGATAATTTTACAGTACATAATAGCAGTACTTAAATAGACAAATTACGATATATGTATATCTACGTTAATGCAAATATCTTGCACCACTTCGTGTAAATATGTATTTTGAGCATTTTTGAGCAAAATTGTATTATTTAAATACGTGTTATGAATATTGTTGTAACACTTGCTTATTTGTAACCACGTTGTTTGATTTTAATGGTACTATGGCTTTCTGTACTTTTTTTCATATTTTTGAAAATTACGTAAATCTTAAGTTACAAAGAGAGTTTTATTATTTGCAAAGATCAATATTGACAAAGATCATTTGTTGTGGTTATGAAAATGCTCATGACGATAGCATTCTCTAAGAAAAGTTCTTAAAATGTTTTTTGAAGCCTTAAATTTCTAGCAGACTGAATTTCATTTTCCTTAATTTTAAAAGTGAGTTTTAAAGACTAAAAGCAACGCACAACTATTTATTAACTGGTACTTCAACAATGAAACAGACTACATTCAGGAGCGCAGAAAACAGTAGTAGTGTTAATAGGTTAAATTTCAAATATCTAATTTAATACCTCTAATATCACAAAAATTAGCTTTACAAAATCACTTCTTATAGATGGTGATGGTAGGTATTACACTAGTACCTTATAGGTATTAAACTAGTGAACTGTTGCTAATGACAGATGACAGCAGCAGCGATAACAACCACAAAATGAAAGGCAGGAAAATGTGGAAATTAGCATAAGAGCGGTAAATAGTAAGACGTGTTGTGCCGAAATTGTGCGGTGGTGACGAGTCTTCGGCCCTAAAGCCTTTACTCCACAATTAATGTCCCTACGGGGTATGACTTAGGGAGAAATAAAATCCACTTAAAAACAAAAAGGGTAAAGTTCTTGAGTTTTAGTTGCGTTAGCTGGTGCCATTAATGGCCTGGCCAAACATGGCGCTTGCTGGAGAAGAAAAACTATCAATTTTTTAGAAATTTTCTTAAAAAATACTTCTGAATCTGTCTGTACCAAGATAATCGCAATATAAATTGAAGATTGTAAAAAGTTAATATGCAGCATTAAAAGTCCAAAAATGAGTAAATAAAAATTTTGTCTTGAATGGGGATCAAACACTCGATGCACTGGTCCATAGCCTGATGAGTCTTACCACTGAGCTAATCTTGCTTACTCTATTTCTGCATAGTTCATAATAAGTTCTATTACTTTAAATGCATAACTGAGTTTATGTTGAGATAATCTTGTTTCTTTAATTTTCTGAGCAATATTAGCAATGATTTGGAGTAATTTAAGGGTATCTGTATCTTTGAAGACGGATAAAATTTCTGCTAAGTCTTCTTTTCTGTTATTACGGATTTTGAATTTTTTCACTGTAAAGCGGGCAATTTTCTGAGCTGTTTTGATTGTATTGTTGATTAATAAATTTTGGGAAGTCATCTATTGAAAGTGGGGGAGGCTGAATTTTAGGCTTTTCTGTTCTGTCTTCTAGTTTATTAAATCTGCGTTGATAGATTTCACATCCTCGATAGAAACTGACATGTGATTTAGAACAAAAAATACATTTAGGTTTCTGATCAGGTTTTAAATTGCATGTATTTGAACGATGATTTTCTCCACATTTAACACATCTGATTTTGTTGTAGTAGCTGCTTTGGGAGTGGCCGAACTCCTGGCAATTACAGCATTCTACTGTCCTTTTCCTGGGAATGTAATTCTCGATTATGACATTAAAGCTAAAAATTCTGTTAATATTATGAATAGCTTCACCTTCTTTGTTTCTGGATAATTCTGTGAAGAATATTGGTAATTTAATTAGCTGATTATCAATCCTGTTGGTAAATAGCTTGACTTAAAGAACAGGGCGTTTTTCTAGAGATCATTAAATATTGCTGCTTCTGTAATTGAGCTGGGAATGTTATTTAATATTACTTTCACTGTATTGTTATTTTTCATTAGGAAAGTATAGAAGTTTAATTGCATTGTCTTGAAAGTATCAACTGTGGAGTGATAGTCTTGAGTGGTAGTGGTTTTAAGAAGAATTTTGTTAGATTTCATATCTGCTTGGCAAGTTTTCGTAAGAAGTTTCTCTACTTCTAGCCAATCAGCATCTTTGTCAGCGATGACTATGGGGGGGGTTGTAGTATCGTTTGCGGTCTTAGAATGTTTTTCTCTTGTCGAGATTTCTTCTAAAAGTGTAGCAAATCTGTTTTTGAGGAGTTTCAGGTATTGCAGTGGTTTTAGTCGGCGATTTACAAGTTTTAGTCGACGTCTGCCATTCCGTCTGTGATTTTGGGGGGTTCTGGGTTTCAGTACAGTTATCTGCAGTATGACTCACATGGTTTTGCTGTGACTTATTGTCCTGAGTTTCAGTACAGTTATCTGGAGCTTTTGCTCTGCGTATTAACCTTTGTTGTTCAAAAGCAAAATTTAACGGGAAAGAATCAGTTGACGTACTTGCAATTTTCGGTATGTCTTACCGACATCACTTAGATGATTTTAAGTGTGGTCGTATTATTGGTTACGTTAAGGAAGGGAGAAAAATAACAGATGTTGATAGGGAGTTCGACGTCAGCCACAGTGTTGTTTCAAGGCTTTGGAAATCATTTCAAACCAATGGAATGTATAGCAAACGTCAAAGCGGAGGTCGTGTTCGCAGTGCGACGCCTGTAGACAGTGCTATCGACAGGTACACAGTGCTATCGACGTAAAGAACTGGCGAAGCACAACTTTTGAGGTAACAAACCAGTTACTAGCTTCTACTGGCAAGTAAATCTCCCGAAAAACTGCAGCCAGATGTTTGCATCAAAACCCCGTCCTCTTACGTGGATTCAATTGTCTAGACAGCAACATACCGTCCATTAGCAATGGTATCGCGAGTATCGTAATTGGACTCCATGGAACTGGGCTTGTGTACTCTTCTTAGGTGAGAGTAGGTTCAGTCCGTTACCGGATTATAGACGTCAACTTATCTAGAGTGTTATTGCTTTTCGTCCAGAAAATATCCAGGAAAGGACCGGTATCCGAGATGCAGTATCATGGTATGAGCCGGCAGTATGATCAATAGCCTCACTCCACTACATATGGTTGCAACTAGGACTATGACTGGCCAACGTTGCATTAATGATGTTTTGCTGCCTCATGTTCGCATGTTCTGTGGTGCTGTCGGTGATAAATTTGTTTTCATGGCAACGTGTCATCGATCAGTCGCTTGTTAGGAAAGTTTAGAGAGTGATGATGTTAAACTCCTTATACGGCCAGCACGTTCTCCAGATCTGAATCCCATTGAAAATGCTTGGAATGCTTTGGGGGAGGAGTCTTGCTGGTCGACAATGTCCTCCAATAAACAAGGACACTTTCATCCGTGCACTGACAAAGGAATGGGATAAATTGCCCCTAAAACTGTTGGATAATGTTGTGCAAAGTATGACATGGTGTGTGGAATCTTACATCGCTCTCCATGGTGACCATATCCCAAACTGACATCTTACGCCAGAATGCCTGCGGACGGTAACTGCATTTTTTCACTTTTGCGTATCCAGCACAATATGACCATTTTATTCCTTGAACACTTTTAAAAGCCTTCCAGATTTCAGAGCACAATAAATTATCTTTATTGTTATGTGCTAGTATTCTGGCATTATTTTATTTCACTTGGCATCCAAACACACTTACTTTCTAACGCGCTATATAGCCGTTTGCGATTCTTCCTTAGCAATTGTCCACCAGTGGACATATACGGAGATGAGGAATTCTTGCAGAATAATTTTGTGATTTCTACAGCCTAATATTCAACTAAAATAGAAATGTTTTTTCTTTTATTCTAAACGTTCATCTTTTGGATAATTTAAATTCGAGTTCAAATTTGTCAACTCAGATTTTACAAAATTTATTCTAGTAATCTGATTTACCAGAATGTCACTAGTTCCTGTTTTTAAATAATGGGTAGTAACATTTACCAAACAAACAATTATTCCTGAATTAGGAAACACTGCGCAAATCAAACATAAAACAACATCTCCTACTGTAGAATAGAATATAAACACACCAATTCGACAATCAAAATCGCAATAACAACCTTAAATAACCTTAAATAACAACCTTATTAATAAATCTACGCGAAATACAAGGTTGTTATTGCGATTTTGAGCTTCTACTGTAGTCTTATTAGAAACAGGTATATTGTTAATAAGATGTTATACTGAAAGTATTATATAAATTTTCTCAGAATTTTATGTTAAAGTTATCAGAAGTTTCTTTCAAGTAGCTTTTGAAAGGTATCAAAACTATGTACACGAATTTAGAACTTAATGCTATTAAAATGAAAAAGTTTGTAAATGGGTAAAAGCAAATATTTAATTTTAAAAAGTTTTTCCGATTTGTGAATATAAAGTTGCTATTTCAAATTTTATACAGTATTATCTAATTTTATCTCACATCAATTCAAACATATAGTGTGCTAGAAGGGAAAACTTTAAATACCTCTACATGTTCCACATCTCTTCCATGGTCATCTAAACTAAGATACACCGACATAGCTTTTAGTTGAGATATTACATCTTTAATATCCCTCTCAAATAAAAAGTAGTCTTCTTTTTCCCTTAAAATGGCAGATCTTTTGAGAATATCTTGCTGCAGACGTTCGTAATTATCATTTAATTCTTCCTATAAGGGAAAAAAATTGTGAAAATGTTTATCCTTTTTCCCACTATATTTCTTTTAGTGTTGAGAAGGTATTGTATACATAATTTTACCTGCTTGATTCGTAGGTTTTCGCTATCAAAATGACCTCTTTCAATCATACTTGAACTGAGTTTCTGCAAGGACTCTACGGTTTGCTTGAAGCCAACGGTAGCTGCTTCGACAGCCCTTAACTTCTTTTGAACAGCCTAAAATAACATAGTTAATAACATTGCTAACATTCTTAATGATGTACATCTGTTAAAATTCCCCAGAGTAGCAAGTTAAAGTTTAAAAATATAGCTTTTTAAGGGCTTTTTTTACGAAGAACAATTCTTGATAGATTTTTATATTAGTTATTAAGTTTTGCTTGAAATAGAAATTACTGAGTTCTTTTATTATACTTACTAGTTTCCACTGAATCACTTACTTGCACTGAATAAATGTCGCGTTCAATATCGTATCCAGTAACTTGAGCGATTTTTTCTTTTATCCACATTTCTGCTTGTTTCGCTTCAAAATAATACTGAAACAGTCAAAATTACTTCTGTACTAGTATTACAATGAAGAAATAACAATTAATATATGTAACTCAATAAACATTAGCAATCAGTTCTGAACGCTAAATGCTCTTGTAGAATAAAGAATGAAAGTGCTTAAATTCACGTGAAAAAAAACTTATATATTTCCTACAGTTTAATTAAAATTCGGTCATTCTGAAACTTTAAATTAGCTTATTTTAGCACGCATAATGACTGAAAATTTAATTTCTGGTTCAATAGATGCTAATATGCAACATATGTTGTCTAAAACGACGTAGTAAGTATATTTAAAATTTTTGGTTTTATCGAGAATTTTTGTATAAGAGAATTAGTATAGATGAGCATAGATGCTAATATGCAGCATATGCTGTCTAAAACGACGTAGTAAGTCTATTTTAAATTTTTAGGTTTTTATCGAGAATTTTTGTGTACATTATTATTTATATCATTTACTCACGAGTTCTTTTTAATAAGAATTTTTTTTAATATTCGGAAATAGTCGAGTAATTAATTTTGAAATTACTTTTATAAGGTTATTATTTAAATTAACCCTTTGTTTATAATTTCAGCTTTGACTATAACTTCTCTTTTCCGTTTCCTCACCAGAAATGTAAATGAATTTACAGAATATTTAAGCTGGCTGTTTTGGATTGTAAGACAGAGTGTGTTTCTACCTCTCGATGCCACATTACTTAGTTTTGCCAGCTCTGATAAGATTATAATTATCGGCTTTCGTTACATCTACCGTCATTTAAATTGTTACGCCGGTTGACGTTCTGAGCCAACATAGAGTTAAATTTTGTAGCCATGACTATTGGCTTACATTTTAAATTTTAAATCTGACTGTTACTTTAAGTTGCATCGCTACAAGTGGTGATGATTATTAGAGCACGAAACGTAGATTTTAAGTTCAAGTTCTAATTTAAATAAAAAGGTTTATTTTAAACCTTTTCAAGACTCTAGTTCATTTCAGACACAGCGATAATTCGCTTAACGCCTGTAAGGAGTTTAATGCTAGTTTATGCTCCCACAGAAAGTCAAACTCTATAGTTTAATTCAGTTTCTGTTTGCTGAAACATATCATAATTTTACTTTACACGATTCTTGGAATGATGGTTAAACTAATTAAATAAACAGTTGGTTTTTTTAGAATATTCGGGTATAGAGTATTGACTAAACTGTTGATAAAAAACTCGAATGATTCTTACTGATAAGAATCATTTTATAAAAACATAATAAAAATCGATAGCTGTACTCTCTTACACTAACAAAGGTGCAGAACTCGGTTTATCTAAGACAACTTGCTTTGGAAACTATTCATAATATATATGTTATAATGCACTGCAGATTTGCACTGATGGTAGCAGAGGTGATGGCGCTATCTCGGGTAACGGAGTGTTTATGAAGCTGGGGAATGGCATTAGGATCCCCCTGTAGGAGAAACTTCGACTACTGTTTAATTGTCCGTGCCGAACTCATATCTATTGAGGAGGCCTTGAGTTTTTGTGCTAATCAGGGTGTCAGTTCTGACATTTAGATTCTGAGAGATAGCGAAAGTTTTATTCTGCACCTGGTTGAATGGTGAAAACATGGTGACAGTAAGACTGTAAATATTGTTCAACACTTGGGCCTCTTTAGTGCCCATACCAAGATTTTCTTCCAGTGGGTACCGTGGTTTATGGTAACGAAATTGCAGAGGGACTAGCCAGGTAGGGCAGTCTTAAGAGTTCTATTGATGGTGGCTGTCTTTTTTTCTTGGAACTCGCCTTCCAGTTTAAACTAGAAATTAACTCTACCTGGAGCAAGGCCCCAATTCATGAGTGGTACGATCGTAATCGTCCTGGTGCTGCTATGATCGGGTCAAACAGCAGATGTGAACAGACAGCTCTCGCTAGGTTCCGCAGTGGCAATCTTCGTGATCAACGACATGTGTCGGGCCTTAAAGTTTATCCCTTTCGCCCGAAATCCAATTTGACCCAGGCCACTCCTGGCCATACCATGCATTGGTTTCCTGAAGAGCCAGCTGTTCCAGATGCAGTTCTTCATTGTTTGAAAATCTGAGAGTTCATGGACTTGATCTAGATGTTGCTGTCGGTTAAGTGGGATTAAGAAGCAACACAATTATTCATTTGCTTCTTGTTTTCATTTTCTTTTAATGCTGTTTCATTTTTATATTTTTTCCCTTTGAAGAAACCAATTCTCGTTTGCTCCTCGCTTTCATTTTCTTTTAATTAAAATAATATTTTTTTCATTTTTACACTTTTTTCTCTTTGAAGAAACCAGTAATAATTATAGTGGCGATTAAAAATCTTTTAATTTCTCTGTATATTTAGAAAATTTATTCTTTTATTCTGATAAGCAGGTGAGATTGTATGGCAATTAGTATAATAATAAATGTTGCAATTAGTATAATTTAACGTGTATTGATACAGAGTATAATATTGTCTTAAGTTCTGATATAAATATATCGTAGCCGTGATGGATAAAATGTTGCAATTAGTATAACTTAACGTGTATTGATACAGAGTATAATGCTCAGAAGAATAAGAAAACCGATTACATAGAAATTTGTTGTCTATGTCCTTCTTTGTATTAGAATCAAATTTTGTTGTATTTTGAAACCGTAGCAAACGACAGTTCAATGAATCAAATCACGTTTTCGCACCATTTTCGAACCATATTGTCTTAATTCAGAGTGCCATACTTTAGTTTTATCTCTGTGTTATAATGAAGGTGGTATCATGTTTCTAAATTATACCAATTAATTGCATAGTTACCTGTACTATTTTCCATTGTGAAATGCTTCCCAAAAATCTTATTGTTTAATCAATCCAAATAGCTCTTAACGGAATATGCTTAGTATATCTTATAGCTCTCAGCATTTAAATTTTATACTGTGCTTTAAAAAAATAAAAAGTTGTACATTTGAAACAATATTGTGTAAAATCTATTTCTCACACCATATTACTTTCTAGTAGAAATGCTTACCGTTTCTGACTGCAAAGCGTCTGTGAGTCTAAGACGCCGCAAACTGATGGCATCTTTCAAATCTTTGAAACGATCTTCGAGATGTGCAACTTTAGCTTCTGCTGTTGGGCTGTTAAATCGTCTTCCCCTCTCTACTACCGAAGAAACTAGTCTTTCTCGTGATGAAATTTCCGTTTCTAATGCCTGCAAAGCAAATGTGTAACCTTAATTCTAAACAGTTTTTGATTGAATTGTTTTAGGCATTTTTATCCATGAGCATCTCATCTTTTGAAAAATTAGTTTTGCAAAAGATATTACCTCTAGATTTTTTAAAAGAGTCTTAACTGAAATGACATCATTGACGTAGTTATTATCGTCACAGACTGCTTTATTTTCTTCTATCCAAGCTAACTCATCACTGATGTCGTTTTCTAGTTCCGTCAACAAAAGTAAATCGCAGAGTTTGGTTCCTTTTTCTTGCAAAGCATATTCCACTGTTCGTAACCTAATGGTAATAGTAATTAATAGTTATTTATTTCTTATACTTGCAATTTGTTTTTAACATTAGAGTTAACAAAATATGATTACCTTTGCAAAGTTGCTTGATAATTAGAAATCATCTCATCCTTTGAAAAATTATTGGACTGTTTGAAATCTTCAGCATAATCATTCAGTAACCTTAGAGTTTCGTCATATTCTTCAATTTCTTTTGACAGCTCCTGAATTCGAAAACAAAGAATTACTTACTTACGTTTCTACTTTAATATGTATAGTTTATATCTGTTAGTAAAGATATTTTTAAATTTTCCTTTTTCTCGTTTGTTTTTTACATGTATGTAGCATTAAATTTAAAATTTAATTTGTAGTAGCTCCTGAGGTCTCATTTTTAATTTGGTTATTTTTCTTTCATATCCTAGAGGTAGATTTATAATTAAGCTTTCTGAAGGAGATCATTCCAGAATTAATCGATATCATTAATTTAGGATTCCTTTGTAACGCAAGTAATGCATGTGCTTATACAGGGGGTGGGGGCATTTTAGTTTATATTTTGAAATTTATATACTGCGTCCTAGGGAAAGTAATATACTGAGTCCTAAGGACAATGAAACTCCAAATATTTTATACCACCTTTTTCGCTACACTTGTCCATTTACATACATGCCAATTAGACTTTACTAGCGTGCATTCTGTGCCTTTGCTACACTTATTTGCGAAACGCTACATCTACCAAATGAGATTGTAGGGGAAAAAGGAACGGAGCGAAAGACACACCAAAAAAAGGAAACGGAAATTAATTAAGTCACCGTTATTTTGCAATGAGAAAATTAAGGCATGCTTAGAAATGATACCAAGGTGGAAGAGAACCGTTTTCTTATGATAACCATAAATTCGAACTAGCAAGTACTTCCTTACTATAACCAGAGCCAGATTTAGACTTGATAAGGCCCTAAGCTATTTGAGATATGGGGGCCCTTTAAGTCTGTTACAATATATTTTAATACTATTTATACTATATTTTAATTTTGGGATGGAAGCCCTAAGCTATTCCTTGTGTATCTTATACGTAAATCCGGCTCCGACGATAATTGCAAGACGATAACCGAGGAGCTGACCTGTCCGATAATAAAAATAGATGAGAGTCCAGTAGGTCATTGTCAGATCATCAATGTAGGCTCCCCTTGCACCCCATGTAGTATATGCAGCCTTAAGCTACGGCTAAGTGAAACACTAATTGTCTCATAATCGAATAAGAGTTCATCTGAGCATTGGTATGAAAGCAGAATAATAATAATAATAAAAAAACTGTTGTAAAGGCAATTTAAAGTCACGGTTTGTGATAAGAGTATTACTCATTTTTGAATAATTAAGTTCATCGTAATTTTTTTTTATTTCAGTTTAATTAAAAGCAACGTATTTGCACAAGAAACAGTTGTTTGCTTTAAATGATTCGTTTAGGTAATTTATAAAATAGCCACTTATTTTATGAATTAATAGATTTCACGCTTTAAGAGTAACATATATGAAACGGAATAAATCGAGCTACCGTGAACAACTCTTAGTTTCAATCAGGCATGGATGAAGTCATTTAATTCTACAGAAACAAACTGTTAGTTTTTATTCAGGGATGGATGAAATCATTTAGTTCCACAGAAACAAACTATCAGTTTTCAGTCACCGGATGGATGAAGTCATTTAGTTCCACAAAAACAAACTTTTAGTTTTAGTCAGGAATGTATGAAGCCATTTTACCTTACATAATAAATTTGAAATACGAAATCAATAATTGAGAAAATTCGTATTTAAAAAATATATTGTAAAATATAGTATTTTAGTTTAATTACTTAAAAATAATCGAATTTGACATGTGTATAAAAATTTACTCCACATTTATTCCGTCATTGCAGGTGTCCGGCCTCAACCTGGGTTGGTTTCTGAGAACGGGTCGAAACAAATCTGTTTAACAAGAAGTGCGGAAGAATATACGATTTTTCCAGACGCATCACAGAAAAGCCTCCTTTCCAAAGGGCCTTGATAGGTTGCAGTACCTCAGCGTCTTTTTGTTTTTTAATATACATAGTCTTAACACCTTTCTCGAGAGAGAGCCCGCTATAATCCTGCTGGTTAAACGAGAATTTGACTGTTCTCCCTATCTCCGACTAGCGGTATTATTTGGCGAGATTTTAGAGTTCCATTTTTACCGAACATCTTTTCTCCGCTCATCGCCAAATGACCACTTCGTTTAGTCGTGCACTGCACAAGACAGTTTCTGACACGAGTCAGCGATTATCCCTTTAATTTCCTTTCTTATTCGATTCTTCAGCTTTCCCATACTTCCTACACTGGTTGCAAACACATTGTCCTTTATGTGACCCCCAAAAAGTAAGCCTGGGGCACTTACGTCGAAAGATCAGCGCTCTGTGGCTACTACTAATAAAGGCCACAAGGCTGCTTCCAGAAATATTCCTTCGTAGCCGACACTGCAGTTTCAAAAGTTTCTGGAAAATATTAATTTTGCTGCCATAGTGTTTGGCAGCCTACAAATTCTTTTCTTATGCCAGCAGTAAATTATAGTAATCTGTGCTAGAAACTTTTAAAACAGCGCCGCATCTTATGCCAACTTAGTTGTACGTGCTCATAGGGTTATAGAAAACTATTTCAAATGCCCATGTCACCATCTAAAATGATACTACACACGGGGAAATAATAAAAATTATACGTACTGAAAATAGAAGACTTAAAGGAAGAAATAATCAAGTTAATTAATGTTCTCAAGTTAATAACCAAGTCCCAAAACAATTTATTAATTTATATATTAAAAAGGGCAGGCATTAACTTTTCTTTATAATTTTTTGACTCTTTATGGTACATATGATAACATTACCTTAAACCTTAACTGGAGGGTAATGGAAGATTTTGAAGAGTTAAGGGATTATCTTGTAAATACTGTAAAAATTAATTTGTAAATATGCATTTAATCAATACTATATTCTTTCCTTTTACTAATGAAGGGCCAACTCTTTTTGAAAGTTTCAATTGTAGCTCGAATTCAGTGAAGATTCTTATCTTTTTCTAATTTTCCTTACTTTTGGCCAGTATTTAGTGAAGTTTTAATTAAACCACTTGAAATCCAGTATTAATAAATTTAGAATATCACAATAAATTTCTTTCTTTAAATAAATTTTTTCAAATCTAAATTAAAATTAAATTTTACTTAAAAATATTTTATTTGTACTCTTTTCAATTTTTACATCCTTAATATTTTACATTCCTTAATAATTTGCACATTTTTCACATAACGTTACAGTTTGAATTTTACAATTTTTTACACATTTTTACAACAGAACACACATTTTACATTACTTAAAGTTTACAGATTAGTTTTTTTTTTTTTTTTTTTTTTTTAATTTGATCGCAGATAGCAGCTTTACACTCAACTTAACCTTACATTAGCATCCTCTATTTAAAGTTTGCAGAACGCACTACTTGCATCACTTAGTTTGGCAATGCTTCTCCACCCCCAAACAACAAACTAGTTTGTAAGTTAAATTAAAACTTACTATTTACTTGCCTTTTTAATATTATTTAAGTATAATTTATGTATGTTTTTAATAGATAATGTCTAGTTTCTTTTGATTTATATGCATAATTCGTTTAGGGGAAGTTTCTGTGGGCAATAGTTTCTAAGCTACTTTGGTTTTCTAAAAATTTGGTTTTTCTACTATTATTTTTTTAATTTTTAAATTTTAATTGTCTTTTAATTCCTAATTTCTCAAAATCCCACTTGTTTGGCTTTCTTTTTAGTAATTCACCACATTTGCTTCTAGTTTTGGTTGACTTTTACTCTTGCCTACATGAATGACAAAACACGAATTGAATGATCGAAGAGTTAGGTTTGGAGGCAACTTTTCCTTGATAAGTCTGACCCCTGCCTGCTCAACAACCATTCAGTTATGCATTTTTCTAAATAATTTTTTAGGATTAAATAATTTTTAGAATTTTATATTTGTTCATGAATTTGATACTTGCACTTGATTTACATATGCTCTCAGAATTTAAATGATATTATAGATTAGTTCGCCACAACATTAATCATTTATTTGTTTGCATTAAATTTAACTTAAATTAACTTTAAATTTGCATTTAATTTGCTTTTTACGAATAGATAATGTTTGCTAAATTCAAATTTCATTCCTTGCAGCAATGGCGCAAGAGAATTATTTAAAATTAAATTTAACTTTATTCTTTAGAAGTATATATATACGTAGATGGACGGACGGTCGATATGTGAGAAGTTTAGCTAAATTATTTATGTTAAATTACCAAATTTTACTCTAAAAATATAATAAAAAATAAAAAAAGAAATAAATAAAAATTAAAAAATATTTTTAAAATTAATTTAACAGGTTTTGGCATGCTAGTAAAAAATATTTTGTCTGTGTACTGTTAATTGAGATTGAAACTGAGAAATTACATTAACGTATGATGCCATTGTTCATCTAAACAGAAAACTTTGTGTATGTGATACTGCGTAACATACTCGAAGATACCCACCTGGAAATAATACACTGTACTCTTATGAACGTTCTAGCAGAATTTGATGAAGTTATTCATTTATAAATTACTCATATAACCAAATAATGTTTTTTCCAAGTAAAGGTCAGAACCGGGGTGAGACCTTTTGCCGCCCTGTGTAAACTCTGGGACTTCTAAATTCTGCCTCCCGATTTTTTCCTAAATTCTTTTGTCGCTTCTAAATTCTTCTGCCCCGGCTCTGACGCCGGTCCTGGTAAAAGCAATCATTAAAATTTATCTTAAAAATAAGTCGTATGTTGAAATAGTCACCATAATTAACTTAACTCAGTCACCATAATTTTTTCATTCGATATTCTTTTTATCAAAGCAAATAATAGACAGCTGTGATTTTTCGTTTAGTAGTTATTTAACTTTATTTATTTATTTAATTTAAAGTGTTATTTAACTTTGAAGAAAATTAGCATGCTGTTCTCTGCCTCTCATTAAAGGTAAGAAACGTAGCTGATTCTGTACCACAGCTAACACAAATAATTTAATTTAACTCTCTATACTGTTTACTTAGTTTAGGCTATTATTATTATTATTTAATTTTATATTTATTTATTGATAAAGTCTTAATAGTGTAAAATTCCTTACCACGTAATTTGTTATAAATGAATGGAACAATTTACTTAAAAGACTTTAGAAACTTTATTTATTGAGGAAAAAGTATGCACTCACCTGTTGCTTATTTATGCTTTGCTGTAGAGCAACTGCATTCGAATCATAATCTTCAAATACAATAAACGTTTCAGCTTCTTGCAACCATAGATTGACATCTTCTAGTTTGTGATTGAACTGCAGAGCCTAATTAAAAATATATGTATAATATTAAAGACAGTCAATAATGTCTTAGTAATTAAATCAAGTTTCGTATGTTAGGACACATTATTTCAGCTTAACAGATGTAAAATATTCTTTGAATCTGACTTTATACTCAGGTCTGTTATATTTATATACATTAAAAAAACGTATTTAATTACCGCTTCTTTTTTTTGTCTGATTCTCATGCAGCCATTCAGTCAATGAGCTCTGTTAAACACCCATTAACGCCTGAAATTTTGCAATGTCAAGAATTCCTGAGATCTCTCACTCTAAAGCGGAAACAAATCGTTCTCCAGTGGGTGCCTGGCCATTGTCGCCTTTGGGGTAATGAACAAGCGGACTTACTTGCAAAAAGGAGGTGCCAGCTTACTACAACAACCTAATACAGCCATTTCTTATCGGAGGATTAAACTGTTTTTAAAAAGTTTATTTACGTCTAATATCTTACGAGATCTTCAGACTCGTACAGTCTGAAAAAGTTGGAGAATGATAAATCCTTCTCTTATTTCCGATAGTCCAAGACGCAATGCAGTTGTGACTTTCCGTCTGTCTACAGGACATGATTACCTTGCCGGCCACCTACACCAATTAGGCATTTCAAGCGATCCTATTTGCCCACTTTTTTTGTGATTCTGGAGTAGAAATGGACCACCTGCTTCAATGTGGGGCTCTTCGTCGTCCTACAGAGGAGTCGAGATACTGGGAGGCAAGAGTGCTTCTTAGCCAATGACTTTGGTCTTTTTGTTCTTAGTTCTATTGTTTGTAACCTCTGTTTGTAAGATTTTAGTTGTTTGTAACTTTTTACCTAGCCATTGGAAATAAAAAAATAAAAGAAAAGAAAATTAAAAAAAAAAAAAAAAAACTGAATTTTGAAACTGACAAACATAACGAAGATCAGAGTAATCATCAAGCAGTAGTTACTTGATTGCTTATAAGATTTAAGGTTAAATACTAATTATCCTCACCAAGAAAGGGTTCTTCTGCAGGTTTATGAAACATAAAAAAATAATATCAAATCAAATGTAATGTGAATGCTTTCCTTATTCATGCTGCAGATTATCAAGGTACTGAAAGTCCATTAATTGATAAACTAAATTATTTATTAATTAATTATTAAGATTAATTTATTAACGTACACTGCATATCTTATTTTATGATATTGTTGCATGCGCACGGGTTTGTAATGGATTGAATACACACAGAAACGATGGTAGCTTGATAAAATTCATTTTTCCAAAAGAAACTCTTTACAGTTCTGGAACTTTTCACGAAAGTACTCGTATAGTTCTCAGTATGAGAGAGCGCAGTCAGTAGCTACCACTTTAAACTACTAAGAACCTTGAACCCAACGCAATGCGAAGCTCTCACGAATCAATACTCCGAAATCAACTCTAAATTAAAAACTGAGAAATGATGCTATCTTCGGTCTCATGCAGTTTTACTCCGGCTGCCGAGAAGAAATTGCTGAAAGGCATGTGCAGTTACAGTAACATAGGGAGTTAGGCTAATGGAATTAGACTAATTGCACTTACACAGGGACCAACCAAAATGTCGCCCAATGTTTGCCAAATTTAGTAACGTTTGTTGATTTGGCGACAAAAATTAGACACCAAAACCATCACTAGCTTCGCGCTCCATTTAGCTCAATTTTAAATGGACTTTTGCCCCTGTAAACTTATTTTTCTGGCGAAGCTTCACGCTCTGGAGGGCTTCATGTTAACCTTATACATGTGATACTACAATTTTACACATAATTTCACTAAAATTATTTACATATATACAAAATTCGTAATAATATTAATACAAAATGTGTCTTTTTATGAAATTATGAATATCTATATCTGTCCTTTACTTCCTAATATAGTTTGGATACTCTTAATAGCAATAAGTTTTATTATTATTGAATGAAATTTAGCATTTAAACCATTCAAGTTAACATTTAATCATCTGTGTATTTTAAATTAAGAATCATCTTTAATGTCATTTGTATCTCGATCATAGAACTTCTTCAATCTGTTTTACCTGGTGTGCTAACGTCTGCATCATACATAAAACACAATAATAAAAAAATTGTTTATCATGGTGTAGTTTACAATGATCTATGTGTTCCTTTTTCTAGATTTTTTTTAAGAACTTGCTCTTTCATGTTACACATTTTAAATAATAAAATATCTATAATAGATCGCTTCTTTATTTCTTTTTAAACTATTGGGCATTAATTTCAGATATTTTTGAGTAGTGTAAAGAAAACGTAAGAAACCTGTAATTAATTACAGAGTTAGAAAAATGAGTGAAGTAAAAGCATAACAAAATGGCGAGAGATCCATAATAAGTCTATTTAAATTTTCCAGTTTATTTCCCATAAATTTTTCAGTTTAGTGCATTAAAGCTTCCTTTCGTATTTGAGGAAAAGTATATCTGGTCATTTCTTTATTTATTTTATCTCTTTTGCTGTGCCAGTTGTTCGTTAACGCAAGTTGCTCGTTACGCAATTGCATTCATATGTTAATCTTCCGTTATTGCATTATGTATTATATTTCGCGTTATGTGTATTCATCACTTGCATGCAGTATATATGTTACCGTGAAAGACCGAAATTGGAGAATGTCGACTTTCACCGGAGAATGTCAGCATTCACCAAATACGTCGGTGAAAGATCGAATATTGCACTACATTCTTGTACATTCGAACCCTCACCGGTGTATGTCGACAATCACAGATATGCTCTGGTGTAGGTTGAAAAGAGAGGTCATTAAATGCCATAATAGTTTAAGTTGTTGAAATAAATGAGATTTGAATCACGTAAATTTAGTAAGTTTTTTATTACTGTTATTTTATTTTCTCATTTAGAACGTACTGTATATTTAAGTAAGTTTTTAACTTTTATTATTTTCCTTTCTCATTTTGAATGTATTGTGTGTTTTAGGTTCTTATGTTCTTAAGTTCTTAGTTCAAGTTTCAAGTGCGTTTATTCGCGACTGAATTACGGAGAAGAAAATATAATATTGTTATATGTTCAACATTCACCATTAGTACATGGTGAATGTCGACATTGACCGGTGTAAGTCAGAAATAAGAGTATTTGGAAAGTATTTCGGACATACACCAAGCGATTATGTGAATGTTGACATTCACCGGGTGAAAGTCGACATTCTCCAGATTTCGGTGTTTCACCCTAACATATACATAACGCGGTGTATAACGTGTCAAAACATGTATAAATAACAGTTATATATAAAACTCTTTGTAAAATGAGTGAGTCATTTCACTAAGGGGTTCCTCAATCATATATCAAAATTTTTTCCTAATCAGTTGTTAAGTTACTTAACTCTGTATTTCTGAATACTTTAGACTAGATATAATGCGCTCTATATTATGCAGGGTGGCATATAGTGTAATAAAGGCGAATTCTTAGTCTACACACATATTCGTTGCCTAATGCTTTGGTTTTCGTATAAATTTGGAATTATCTAAGGCAAAGCTATTTACGTCATGGACCAGAATGTCCTCATTTCATCAGGTCTAAATAAATATATCATGATTACATAAAGAATTCACATTGATTAGACAGAAGTTAAATGATCTTACGTTGTTCGCATCGTTCAAACATTCTTTTCGGCTGTTTGTGGCATCTAACAGTTTTTCCCACATCTGCTCCAAATCATGACTGTGCTTTCGGATTTCATCGGATGCAAAGTGATCTGCTTCTATGAGATCTTGTGCTTGTTGTAGAACATCTACAACGCGGACGTGATTGGCTAATATTTCCGCTTCGAACGCAGAATGTTTCTGACATTTGCTCAGGAGATTACTTAAGTCACGATAGGATTCGTCGGATTCAACTTGCAGGATTTTTTCACTCATCCAGTGGGAGATCTATAAAAGAAAAAAATGCTAATTGTAAAATTTTTCATCACTTGCATGCAGTATATACAAAACTCGGTGTATAACGTCTCAAACATGTATAAATGACAGTTATATATAAACCTCTTTGTAAAATGACTTAGTCATTTCACTAAGGTGTTCCTCAACCATATATCAAAGTTTTTTCCTAATCAGTTGTTAAGTTGCATTACAAAGTATAAAACAACAATTAAGAACAAAACTTGGAAGCTGATATGAAATTTTGTACGGGATATACACTGCCAATACAACATGTTAAGAAGTAATTCATATATAATAAGATTAAAATCTAATTTCATGCTAAATTATTGCTACTTTTTACATATTTCAACCGTTAACTGGTAACAAGATCAGCCAGTTAAAAAAATAACTTTTTGGAAGAAACAAATGCAAATTTTGTGGTTTCATTTGCCTATTCCTTTTAATGACATGTTTAACATCTTAACCTGTTGTTAGAAAGTTTAATATTCACATTATGAAAATAATTTTCTGATATAAATAATTAAACACAGTAATTTAAGAAAATTAAAAAAAAACTTTTCTTATTTATTTAATCGGTCCAACAGTGATCGAGCGAGACTGGTAGTCAGACCGAGGCTCGAGTCCCGGCGAACGAGCTGTCTGCATGGACATTTTCGTGTTTTTCCCATGTGTAACGTCACTACGACCCAGTTTCATTTAAAAGGTCTTCCACAGGGCATCCCTCCCTATCTGTCCTTATATTGCCCAATGGTGGAGTACGTAAAAATAGATAAAAATGAGCATTTATTTATTCAGTGGGGGGAGGTATTTTTTAGCTAATCATCTTGCTTGTTTGCTTTTCTTTATTTCTTATTTTTTTTTTTTTTTTTTTTTTTTTTTGAGATACGCTTTCCAAGTTCTTGATTATGTCGAAAGTGTTTTGAAAAATCTTTTCCTGTATTGCGATAACTTCTTAGTTTAAAACTGTGAATACCAGAAGGATGCTTTATTGTTCAAAATTTACATTTTTCTTGTTTTTGTAGTGTTAAATGTTTAGCAATAAATTTTGTTTGCATGTATAAGTGTGGTAAACTTTATTATATGATGTAAAACTCTTCAAGTCATTGTATTAATATAACCAACATCAATAAACCTCGCAAGTTGCATTCAGCGCTAGATATTATTTTAGAATACGGTGATTCCACGATTAATGCAGTTAATGCATGGCTATAAACTTCGTAACCAATAGAATCAGAGCTCAACGGAGAAAGGCATTTTACGCAGGTTTGGACACTCTGATAAGTTAAAAGACTGAGAATGCCGCCAGGACTTAGAAGAGAAGGGCTAGCTTATACAGCTTTTCCACCTGAAGCAGAAAGTGAGAAGTGATGATGTAGTCATGCTGACACTGAGCGTGGAGATGCAATTCACAGCTTAGAAATTAGCATTTTTGAACCAGCGTTTAAAATGAGCTGTGTGTGAAAGATAGCTATAATTTGGAAGAGACAATGTTATTGCTGCATGCATTTTACACTGAGCCATTAAAAAATGTAATAATAGTTACTGAATTTTAAAATAATAGATAAAATGCGCTACTCTTTTAACATAAAGTTCCGTGTTTTTTTGTTTTTTTTCATTATTATTATTATTATTTGCAGGTTTTTTTCTTTTTCTTTCTTTTTTTTTAATGCACGTTTATTTATAATCATTTCTTTATTTGCATGCTAAATGAGAGAATTTTTATACTGCTTCTAAGATAACTATAATAACTATAATAGCAGCTATTTAAATTTACTCAAAAAACAACTTTACATTGACATAGTTTTAAACATATATGACATATATGGCAAAATTTCTGCTAATCTACGTTTGATTCTTTGCCTAAATGTAAATTTTACATTAGCATATTTCTCTTCCGATTCAGTATAATAATAGATATTTTTTAAATAATTTTGTAATTTATACTTACATCTATATTACAATTAAATAAATGTATGTAAGATTGTTACCTTAATTTTGACAAAATAGCTTTACTCACAGTACCTAAACCAGTTATTTAATTTTTCAAAAGCGTGAGTAGAGGAGGCACTTCTCTTTATGCTAATTACTTTGATGTTTTATACTATTATATTTTATTTAGAATGATAATCTAGCACAGAATCGAATCAATAATTAGTTACAAAGGATACAATACGAATAACTTTAACAAGCACTTAACAAAATTAGTTTATTAAGTACTTGTTATTCTTGTTGGTACTATTTTGGTACTATTCATAATTCCGATAGATTATCGATTAACTTATAGAAGTCAGATGCTTTTTGATTTCCTGTGAGGTGGAGTATACCTTTTGCGGTATTTCTTGAAAATAATGTTTTCGCTGGAGCGACTTTTTATCTCTCGTTTCCCTTGACTATTAAATAATTCGGTTTTAGTTTGTAACACAATTTGATTTCTTTTGAATCTCTATTTAAAACCTCTTTAATAATATCAAAATTTAAAACAGTTCCATCTTCTAAAACAAACCCTTTATTTTGTAGTTTCTCAGTAATTTGAGGCAGAGTGCGAAATGAGACCTCTGATTAAAACAAACTGCACATTTTGAAAAGAACAGAGAATTTGGTCCAGTTTATGAGTCATAGCAGAGTTTTCAATCTATATTTCATTTCGTAATCGAAACTGAGAACGCATATTTTTTCTACACAATTCAAATATTCGCCTCTTTCCTTCTTTAGAGTAAGAACATTACTTTGAAGTCTTGGACTACACTAAAATTTAGCGCACCATTTCTTTAATTTGCTAATATTAAGTAAAAGAATTCCGATTTTTTTCCTTTCCAAACGACGATTTTTCCTTTAGACGTTTTCCCAAAATCTCCGTTTTTTTTTTTTTTTTTTCCCCGCTATTTGAGATTTTAATTTTTGATACAAATTTCTTTCTAGATGTCGTCCACCTTGTTTGTCGCTGAACAAACATTCTAAAATTTTTCTTTTCTCTATTTTTCAATATTTTAATACAATTTTCTAAGGATATTATTTTGTTCTTCAAATTATCAATGCATTCTTGTTTATCCTTAAACTTGGGGCATTCATGAATATCTACATTTTCATTTGTGAGTTTTATTTCAAAATCATTAACATTTAATTTATTATTGTCATCACCAATTTCAATTTACTATTGTCATCATAATTTACTTTCGATACAGCATTCCATTTCAACAGTTTCTTTTTGTGGCTATCCAAACAAGCGATTTTTCATATCATCTTCATAAACACTGCATACAAAATGTTCGCTGCAGATTTTTCCGCTCTTCACATCAATAGAATCTTGTCTTTGACATTTGTGTATCCATTCTTTCGTCAAAAGCAAAATTTTCATTTGGTCCCATGAAATAAAATATCTCATCCTTTTGTACTTCTGTAAGTGCTACGGCACGTTGCTACAGCGCGAAAAACCATTTTACATAAACGATACCTTACAATATAAAATTTAAAATAAAAACTGACCAAAATTATATATATATATATAAAATTATTTTAAATATTTACATCATTAGAAAACAAATATATATGATTAAAATTAATTTGGAATATGCAACCTCTAGAAAAATCCTCTCGCAGCTGAATGAAACTACAGTTTTAAACGCGGAAAATCAGAACAGATGCATCACAGTGACGTCAGATTACTGCCGGTTAAGTCCCCCCATTAGGCACGCGTCGGCGAGCAGTCGAACAAAGGAATGAACTAACCCTTTCTATTTATCCCTGGAATGCCGCAGCGTTACCCCCTACAGTACCCAAAACATTTAGGACACTTCTGATGGACTTTAAAATAAGTCACTGATGAAATAGTAGAGTACAGTAATTATATATATATACGAGGGTCATTCAGAAAATAAAGACCGTTTAATTATACAAAAGGGAAAACACAATATTTATTAGGAAAATAAAACTTCTACTGCATAGCTGAAGTTTACTTCACGTCTTTATATAATCACAGTTTTATTTAAATATTTGTAGTATTTGTACATGAGCATCAGAATTCTCTTGTTATACTCTTCTGCCGCCAGACCTGAAGACTGCAGTGAGTAACAGAATCTTGCAAGACAGGCGCGTAATTGCACATTTTGTTTCCAGACATTTCTTGTTCTTTGTTTGGTGAAACGTGTCAACACATCTCGGCTACAACAAAATTTGGGCACGATGGTTTCCGCGGCAATTCAGTCACCCGCACAAAACTCAGAGAATAGGCTCAGCATTGACATTCTTGACACAAAATCACACAGATGGAGGCGCCTTTCTTGATCTAATTATGAGCTGTGATTAGACCTGGGTGTCCCACATCACCCGAGAGAGCAATCACTTGAGTGGCATCATCCCTCATCACCGAGAAAATGCAAACCGATTCTCTCAACACGAAAGGTTATGGCAACCGTCGTTTGGGATCGTAAAGGTGTTCTTTTGGTGTATTTTATGCCAAAAGCTACTACGACCAGTGTAAATTGTTAATGTGAGATTCTAAGAAAACTCCGGCGAGCCATCAAAAACAAAGAGCGAGGAATGCTCTCTGGAGGAATTGTGCCTACTGTTTCTGGACAAAGCCTGCCCTCACACTGTTGCTCTGACTCAAGAATTGCTATATCAATTCCAATGGGAAATTTTGATCATTCACCGTATAGGCAGGAGACAACCCTCTACTCCTTGCTCCTAGATATTTCCACCTTTTCCCTAAGCTGAAAGAATTTCTAGGTGTTAAGTATTTTGGAAGTGATAAAGAGTTGGAGAAATCAGAGACCATCTGACTTAATGAACTGGCGGAAGAAGACATGGGAACTCTGAAGCTTGGACCAGATACGACAAATGTTTAAATGTAGGAGGTGATTATGTGGAGAAGGAAGCTTCAGGTATGTAACAGAAACTGTTTTTTAATAGATATTGTGTTGTTCATTTTGCATAACTGAAAGGTTTTCAATTTATGGACGATCCTCATATATATCTGAAAACATAAATTTTGCGATTGAAAACTGGTTTATAAAAGCAGTAAATGAACAGATGCTTTAACTAAAAGATAGCAGACTCTGTGATGCATGGCAAACTGGCATGTGACATATTATCAAACCACGACCATGTGAGTATTTTCAGCTTGAAAATAAAAAGACTTGTAATTAAACAGATATTAGTGAATAGGTATTTGACTATGTAAAGTGATACAGAAGTTTGATGCGCGAGCTTTGTTTAAAATACAAGAAGTTATATCTGCATTCAATAATCAAATTAAATGTGATTGTTAAAAACTAATTATGAATCTTGAAGAAAATTAAAGCTAAAAAGGAAAGTCCAAAAGCTCATCCAACTGAAAAATTGTCCGTATGGGTAAAGATATATTTAATTCAGAAAACATGCTAACAAAATTTATGAAGTGCATGTTGTTTAATTTAAATGGATGTTAATTTAGCATTATTTTTTAAATTTCCACATAAATTTTTAACTTACCTCGTATATATCTAAAAGCAATTGCTGAAGAGACTTTGCATCCTGAAGTATATTTCTACGACGTGTGCATGCTTCCTGCAAAGCCTCTTTTCTTTGGCAAATTGCTTGAAAACGAGATTGAATAATTTCGTTATCTTCGTGGTCTTCAAGATCTCTAGCCATTGCCTCGATTTCATTGATTTTCTCAAAATTTGCAAAGCAACTCTCTTCGAAATTTTCATGTTTCCGAATGAGAGCCATAACGCTTGACATGGAATCCTATGGAAGATCAAATCACTATTAAAAAAAACAGTTATTATTTTTCAGAAACAATCAAATTTCGAATTAGTTAATGTTTGAACTGTTTAATCGGTGTACCATCTACATCAATACTAAAGTCCTAGAAGGGGACAACTAGAAGTTATTTTTAAATTTTCAGCCACTGAACTAGACAGAGTTATCACATTGACATAAATATAAGAACTCATATGACTCATGACATAAAAATAAGAAAAATAAGGACGTAATAATTATTCTTTTTCAGAGGTGAAAGCAAAGTCTAACAATATAAAACAGGCTTAATACATCTTGAAGCTGAGAAATCTATTAACTGCATTCCTTTTGCAATCTCAGAAAATCGTTAGAAATTTGTAGGCGAAGTAGATATTATCAGGTTCAATGTTTCTTCTAACCTTCTTCGGAAAATACAATGACCTGACTAGAACAGAGAGCTTACTAAAGCTATGTTCACTAATTGTAGTAAGTAGACAGGATACAGACGAAGGGTATACAAAACCCTTTATTTTTTTCTTTATATACAATGACTTCCGTACTTCGGAATACAATGACCCTCCACTCGGGGTCTAACTTAAAAGATATCAAAATAAAACTAAACTCTAATTTAACTTTAGAATAAGATTGGCCTTATAATAACAGAAAGCGTATGTAGCACAGAGACTGTGAACACTACAATACGTTTAATTTATCAAGAGGATTAAAACCTCTGGCCTGGAAGGCAAAGTAGCAACTGCGTAACTTCTAAGGTAAGCGGCCTGCTTCGAACTCACGGCTTCCTCTCTTCTGCTTGGCAAAAAGGCCACACTTAAATACTTGGCGTTCGCCAGACAACTTTGCATAAACTCCTTCACGCTTATAATTCTGGCCGGAAGTAGAAAATAAGAAGTGATAGTAAAGATTTAAAATAAAATAAACGTTAGTAAAACTTAAGATCCTTACAATATAACCACTGAATATTAGTAGTTCAACCCTGATTCGAACCCAAGAAAACGGGCTGGCAGCTTGGATATTTTACATAGTGTATCCCGTATGTAACGTGAAAGTCCTTCACGAAGGCTTTTCTCCCTTTCACTAGATAGCAATGTGTACTTTGCCCTACATAACTTAATCATCATTGCTGTATCGTGTTATCGAGGTCAATGCCTTACTCCGGATTACATGAATCTTACAAGTCGACACGACAGGCCACATTAGTGAGAGAACACATTATGTTTTTGCTATAATTGAATAACTATTATTGCTATATTGTTACAACATTTGAATTTCTATAAATCACAGTCATGTCTTACTACTATCGCTAAATGCGTCAGAAGGATTACACCTCACTTGGACCTTTTAAGCTTTGAAATACAGTAAACTGGCTAATGGAATACCTGTAGTCTAAGATGTAGTACTCTCAGTCTAAGTCGTCTGTAATCTTAGATTTAGAAATTAAGCATATATAAGAAGCCTATATAGGAATATACGTTTGAATTTAAGGATCTTTGTTAGATATCAATCTCACTGAACATCCATGCAGTTAAGCAAATCTTTAGCAATATTGATCAACTACCAGGGATAGGCACACAATTTTGGGCAGCGATGTGCAGAACAAATCAGACTTTAGAAGTATTATGATCAATAAGCAGTCATTATCTTTACGCTATTTCAAGAATTACATTGTGGAATTTATAACGTAGGGCACGGCCCCCAACTAAGGATTACGACTAGGAAAATAACTACGCATTGTAAGCTTTCTGTTATTTTGATTTTGAAGCTGTATTAAATTTCACCGTCGTTCATATATGGAGAAAAACGTAACCTTTGTTTACGCCAAACTTACATTGCTGTACATTAAAATTGCTACCCAGGAAAGAAACCAAAAAGCACTTATTTATTGTACATATATAGTATAATGGAAGGAAGCCATGATTAAATTTGCAGGTGCTTTAGGAGTACACAGTTTGAAGAATTCAGTACATCCAAAATGCCCCTTCCGGTATCAACACCGGCTGTAATTTGACTGGGCATCGAGTAGAACTGAGTTAGGATAACAGATACGGGTACTTATTTCATGCGGCTTCAAATCTATACCAGAATTCATCAATTCCAGTGCCTGGCGACCTAGTGGTGACGTGCTAGTATATGGCAACCTACAATGAGATATTCTAAATGGATGAGAAATCTAGACTAGGACAACAGTCGAACACCCTCTATATCGAAGAAGGTTAGGATAGCATGGAGAGCATCCAATCATGAATTATCTTGCTGAATGAGGTTATTACGTATGTCTCAAAGACAGAGCACAGCGACGGCCTTAACACATCAGAAATCTAACACGGCGGCTGTCCACATTACTGCCTATGCGAACAAAAAGTATGTTGCCCAGTATGCCCAGTGGCACTCCATACTAGCACAGTTGCTGCTAGACCCGTATGGAAATATGAATGCAGGCTGGCAGTGTTCATTCTCCCCGGTGTCTCCACTCACGGATAAGCAAATCTTCGCCTTAAAATACAGGGTGGTGCCACTCCTGTGCCCATCGTTGTCGTTCGTCGCACCACTGTAAGTTCCACTGCCTCTGCTGCAGCGTCAAGGAAATCAGCAAAAATCGTCTCCTTGCTGACAGTCCGTTGTGTTGTAGACATCGTCGAAATTTAGTATAGACACTTGTCGTCCAGCACGCGAACCAAGTACGTGACATGGCAGTACGATCCCATTAGGCTAAGATAAGAATATGTCTGTCCTTTAGGGCGTTATTGGACCAGGTCCGCTGAGATCCTGCGTGGCATTCAATATGAATTCCATATCCGCTTGAGAGTCATGAGACCCTGACCAACACGACCAGCAACGTCGCAGAATGATAAACCGCAGTACCAATAGGCCATGACCCTACCGCAGTTGAATTCCGACATGTGCTGGAAGGAATTTCTTTTTTCTTACACGAGGCATAACGCAACCTTCATACAAACACTAGACTTTCAAAGGTTATTTACAAATGAGAAACTCTCTCTACAGTTAACCCATTTATGCAAAATATAGATAGTGTTACTCATATCTGCTTTCTGCGCAGGCGGTGGAATGTTAATCATTTGAGTATCCCAGTATGTAGTACCTTTCATGTAAATTTGACATTTGTTGCATACCGCCGTTTTGGGCTAGCGATTCTAATAGCCTACAGTTTAATTTTTTTCTTATTTTTATATATTTGAGCTGAACATGTACGTTGTTGGTATGATACTTTGCTATAGAAAATAATGGAAATAATAATAATAATGGATCATATAAATGGCACCATTATAAATTTTATTGAGTTTTACAGTGGCTTATAAAACTTTATGCATTCATTAGATCTTAACTTTGTTTGACTGCTGAAAAGTGCATACTTATTTTAAAGAACGTAGAACAGAATTAACAAAAGTAAAATGTGAATGGTATTTTGTACCGCATGCTTCATAACACGCAATACGACGAATAATCAAATGAAACAAGTGCTCTTAAAATATTTAAGATCTTAGAATTCAGAACTGCCGCCCAGACGGTATAGTGGTTAGGGAAGCCTGGCTGCGATACCGAAGGGCCTGGGTTCGAATCTCGGAGAAGGCATGGTTGTAACTGTCCGTCCCTTCATAGAAGGCGATGGTGGCCCACCTATTAGGTGCCTCCATAATAAAGAGACCGCCACATCTGGCCTTGTATAGATTAATGGACTGGGTTACACTGTAGCTGTTCACAATCTGCCATTGGAAAAAGAATTCAAAACTTGAGATTCATTAGTTTGAGTCTCAGTTACAAATTATAAAGATCGTAAAAAATATGCATTTAAAAATCTATATCTAGTTACTGGCTAGCTGCACCATGAATTTAATAATTTTGAATTTAAAGAAATATTTGGAGGATTTATCAAGATCTAAGCAAACTAAATTCAATTTTATTCATAGCTTATTTTCAAATGAGTCTATTAGTCCTTATCATAGCTAATTAAACTTCCTTTAAAAAATTTTAAAAAGTGAAAATGCTTACACCAATATCTTGGTTTGCAAGAAAAGCTTCTTTTGATAACAGCCAGTTTTCAAATTGTTTAGCTTTCTCCAGGAAAATCTGTAAGAAAAACATTGCCGTTGAGTTCTGAATGCTTCAAATGAAAAGTAATTAAAAATTTCATATTTATTTATGCTATCATCATTCTGAAGAATAAATTACCTGAATGTCACGGTTCTGAGAAAGTACTTTGAATCGTGTTTGCCATGCAGTTTCAAGATTGTTACTCATGTCTTGTAAATTCTTTAGGCTGCTTTCTATTAGTTTAGCAGATATCTCCGAGTGATTCTTAATACGATTTCCAGTTGCTTGCAGATCTTTTATTTCTTCTTGGCGGGTGATAATTTGTGGCTAGATGCAAATAAATATCACTTGAATATATTATAATCCTCTTTTTTTGATTAATATGAAATTCAAAGATATAACTACAAAAATTTCCACTATTACGTCATTTAATATATCATATCTTCATTAAGCATATAATACACACAACGCTGAAGGAGGTTTTGTTTCAACGGGGATTAATAAGTCTAAGTTCAGTTTTTGGAAGAATAGTAAAAATCAAAATAATATCAATGATTATCCTTTTCGCAATTTTATAATATTCAAGTACGAAATAGTTTTCTTTAGAAGCTCAAATTGATCTTGGGAATGCTGCCTTCCTTCGTGATTAAAGCTTCTCCAAGTTCCGCTTGAGCTTTCCAAAAATAGATTACCTAAATTACTGTGAAGTTCCAATTTTGTTTAAATATGCAAATAGGCAAATAAGCAACCTTTGTTTGTCGTAAATTTTGAATGAAACTCTATCGATTCTGAGGGAAGTGAGGTCCCTATCCTACAGAAATAAAAAAGTTTTTTTTCTGGAGAAAATCTATGCCAAGATAAGGTTGCTTTCTTGCCTAATTGTGTGTTTTATTTTAGCGTGTTTCTCTATCTTTTGGTTTCAATTCCTTTCACCGAAATAATTATTTTCCATCAAATTCTGTTTTAATTATAATAACTGCCATTTTTGATAAGTTACCTTTCAGTATCCATTTCAGGAAACAAAAATTATTCAGTTTGAAACTACATAGCTATTTCTCATTAAAAATGGCCATGAATTGATTTCTTACGCTGAGTATTCCCATTCTTTATCACATATAAAAAAATCACTGCGCAACTATCTTAAAACTTTGATATTAATATCAAATATGGAGTAGAATCTGAATTTCACTACGAGTTTTAAAACCTTCTCTCTGGCCAAATGCTTTCCGAAGAAATCCTCAGTTTTCCAAAACTGCCATGAGAATGAAGCATTTTTTTTTTTAATATTTTTATGCCAAAATGTCCCTGGTACTTTATACCTGGATTTACACACCTTTAATATATTGCCTTAGTTTCCTGGATATGCATAAAAAATCAATCACATGTATGTACTTTTTTAAAGACGTCACAAAAAATATTCTTGTCCGAATATATAGGGTGATTCAAAATTCATCATCAAAATATTTGGTGGGGAGGTAGGGAATAGGAAAAGAAGATTTCACATAGGAATGCTTGGACGCATATGCCATGTAGTAGGGCAAAATGACCCCCTACTACATGGCATATGCGTCCCAGTTCACTAATGGAAAGAACTCATAAAAAGGAAGTAGTAAGGGAAAAAACATTTGTTATCTTACATATAACATTTCTTTGAATCGGTTTTACAGACTTACAAGAGGTGCTCGAACTGCTGACCATGTGCTACAATGCATGACTCACAACGGCGCTGCATGGACAACCAGACCTTCTGGAATATGCCTGGCATTTACATGCATATCTGCAAGTTCATTCCACGTATACCGGTTCATGTTACTTCTGCAAAGTCACCTAGTCGAATGACGACTGGCTGCACACGTCAAACACCTGTGCTTATGTATGGAAGTTGTGTACAAACAGCGCCCTCTACACCACCATGCGTTCGTTTGCGCCCATACTTCCTCATGTGAAATCTCCTTCTTTTCCTATTTCCTACCTCCCCACCAAATATTGATGATGAATTCTGAATCACCCTGTATATACGGCCTGACCGGTCAGTGACTTTTTAAAAACATCATCTGTTTTAACATGCATAATAAATTCAAGTGAGAATAAATGTGAAAGATTTAATCATATTTATCAAATATGATAAATAAAATTTCATAACACACTAATGTGCAAAATTAAGCAACAAATTCCGTTTTCGACATGCAACCATGAATTGCTGAAAAAGGCTTTTTGCAGTCAGTACATTAAAAAGTCAACTCGGTAGAAAGGTTAGGCATATGCAAATATAAGCACCTTGACGTTAGGGCAGGCAAAAACCATACGTCACCCTACTTATACCATACGCCACGCAAATCTCGAGAAATCAACGCGAACAGTGCAAAGCAGCTTAAAAAGAAGAAAGGAATGCGCAGTTCCAGACATTCTTCCAGATGAAAATGAGTTTTTACGTGGAATATGGATACAAGAAAACATCAAGATGCCTTCACACGTTGTAGAATGATTTGAAAGCTTGAGGAGGAGCGTACACCTGTCGCCCAAAAGTTAATAATTGATTAAAGTGCTTTTTCGTAAACTTAGAAAGCCTTCCAAACGACAGAAAAGCAACGGTGACTGATAACCTATATATCGTCCTACCGGCGAAAAGAGATCTAAACCAGACAGCGAGCAACATTGATAAGCGGTTGTGGCAACCGGACGGCTGGTGTCATGTTTTACTGAGGGCAGACGACTTCATAAAGTTGAACTATTCGCTCACAGTCCTGAACACTGCATACCATTTACAGCAGCCAATCGGCGGCACCGTTTACAGTAATGTAGTGAACACAAACGAACATCTCATCAATGGTATCACATCCTCTTTACCAATGAGGGTCGTTTCAGTCTGACAAACTATTCTCGGCTCCAGTTGATATATAGAGAGGTAAGGACACGCTTTCTTCCCACTAGCATCAGGAAAAAAGTTCGTTTGAAAGATACTGACGAGCTTGTGTGGGGAGGCATTATGATCAACGGACGACTGAGCTCCACATTTTCGACAGAGGTGTACTTGAAATTGTTACTGATGAAAGTATCCTCCTCTACTTGCGTCTTTTCGAGGTGCCAGAGGTCCCACCTTTATTCTTGTGCATGACAGGGCGCGGACACATAGGACCCATGTTGTTCAGGAGCTCCTGAATATCCGCAGAATGGATTAGCCAGTATGTCCTCTGATTTAAATCCCACTGAGCATTTAGGGAGACCCTTAGCGGTATGATCTTACCTTCCTAAGAGCACCAGGCAACTGAAACAGTTGCTCCTTGAAGAAAGGTAAATGTTACCCCAAGAACGATTAGATAACCACGTGCTGAGTATTGAGAGAAGGTGTAAGGCATTTAGGGGAGGTCATATCCATTACCAAGGCTCTTTGATTGGTTGTTTTCCTTTTGGCCAGACGGTTTTTTTGTACCGATGCCTTTCTGTCAATCAAGCCTTTTTCTGTTCGTTCCCTATTGTATGCATACTATCGGATTTTAACGCAAGTTTCCCACCACCGTAAATATTGTCTGCGCAAACAGTACGCGGTTTGTTTAATCAGATTTTGTCAAACGATGTTTCGTATTTGAAAGAAAAAGACTTGCTGTGTTGTGAAATTTGTAAAAAATATCGTTACCATAAAATGCAAAGTGTCTGAAACTGAACTATCATGCCAGATTATAACCATCATTTACTTCCAAGTTCTGTTTCAAAATGTCAGCTACAGAATGTTACTAAATCATGTATACAGCTTTAGGTACTAATGTTGTATCATATTTACACTGTGAAGGATTAGTACCGAAAGTTCAAAAACAAGAACTATGACATTCAAGAAGCAGAACGCTCTGGCCGACCTACTGATGCTCATCGGACCCGCCTACGAGAACTTGTGGAAGAATATCAGTATGCAACCACTTGAGAGTTTGCTAAGAAGTTAGATGTTAATGCCATGTCTATTAGTTGCGCTATGCATCGCTTAAACTTGACGTACAAATTTCATCGCTGGGTGCCGCATGAGCTGACTAAAGCAGATAAGAACAGACGTGTTCAGGCCTGAAATAATCTGCTCAAATATCAACGCAAGGACAAAATTCCGGACCGGATCGTCACTTGTGATGAAAAGAGGATTTATTTCAAAAACACAGGCCGAAAAGGGGGGTGGTCTTCTCTCAGTGAACCTGTCCGCAGTGTCGCAAAGCGCAATTTCACTAATAAAATGATCATGCTTTATAGCTAGTGGGATTTCCGTGGTACTATTCACAAAGAATATCTGGAAAAAGGTAAAACCCTCAAGGTGTGCAGCGAGATGCTAGTCTGTGTGACGCTGCTATCAAGGAAAAACATCGAACTGAGTTCTGGAGCAAAAAGATAATGTTCCATCAAGATAATGCAAAACCAGATGTCTCTTCATTCACCGTCTTGACTCTGTACGGACTCTAATGGGATCTTTTGCAACACACACCATATAGCCCCAACATCGCTCCTTCGGACTTTTACCTTTTTTTACACCTGCAGCCACATCTTGCTGGTGCGATCTTCTATTCTGCATTGGACGTCGGAAATGAGGTTGATCTGTTTTTGGACTCGCGGCCACCAAGTTTCTGGGCCGAAAGCTTTGAAAAACTACCAAAACGTTGGCAGAAAATCATAGATTGGGGTAGTAATTACTACCTGCACTAAAAGTATTGCTTTGTTTTTTTTCCTAACTTTATTAAGAACGTTTTCTGGCGGAAAACTTTCATCAGAAGCAACTATTAATTTTTTTTCTACTACACTTTTCTCATCATTTAAGTACTAAATTGTGCCTCTGTAGTGTGACTTTCATATCTCCCAGATGAATTTTTTTGTTGAATTACGACCCAAACGACCCAAATCAGAAAAGTTGTTTAAGTTTTGCACACTAACGTATATTCGAGAGAATTAAAAAAAATTATGAAATTCAGTGTAAATAATGATGTAAAAGAACTTAATAACAAACGCTTCGATTCTTTAATTTAAAATACACGTTTTCGTATTAGGCAAGACAAATGATCCCGTCAGGGGGAATACTCTTTACAGCCATGTGAATACACTTAGAGCAACAGAACGATCGCATTAAACGCTTTGCAAAAGGTTTTTAAACTTTAGATACGTTTATAAATGGGATGATATTTTCATTTCTAAATGAAGAAAGGCAGTACATGGCAAAGTGTTCCCTGTGTTCGGGTTTGTAATTGATTGAACGAGCACAAAACGGATGGTATCTTGATAAAATTTATTTTACCAGTTCGCCCTTCACAGTTCGTGAATTTTCCACAAAAATTTTCTTTCAGCTCTTCACAGTATCACAGAGTACAATCAGTATACTTCAAACAACTGCGGACGTTAAACACAACTCAGTGCAAAGCGCATCTGAAGAGAGAAGCTAATACGGAGATATCTTAATATTCCGAACCACACTGCACTGACAACTAAACAACTACTAATAACTGGTGCTCTCTCCGGTATTATATAGTTTAACCGCGGCCGACGAGGAATCTCTCGTACTTCTCGAAATTAACGGAAGGGATATGAGGGCCGGATACTCTTGCTTCTACATAGAATCAATTTTAGTTATTCGTTTGCAGTACCCATTATTTACAGGGATCGGAATATTGGCAAGTTTTGGAAATTTCTCGCGAAATTTGGCGACAAAATTTATCACTAAAACCGTCTCCAGCTTGGCAATATCTCGTGCATTTAGCGATATAACAATTTACTTAATGTTAAATAGATTTTCCCTGTATTCTTATTTTTCAGCAAAGCATCGCCTCTTTAGATTTTCATGTTATATCATAAAAAAAAAAAAAAAAAAAAAAAAAAAAAAAAAAAAAAATTACCAAAATTATTTATATATGTACAAAATTAGTAATAATACTTTGAGATCATTATGAGCACGTAAAAGGCTTTGAGCATCTGAACTGTTTGAGGGTAATTTTCCAAATTCAAGTTCTTCAATCATTTCCGTCACAATTGTTCCCTAAAAGAAACAATTTTGCATTGAAATAACTATTAAATAATTATAAACAATATCAAATGAAAGCTTAAACTATTAAATTATCTTACTAATGTTTAACTTGGTAATTAGTCATACAGTGCACGTTGATATCCGATATCGACTTCACTCACAACAAAAGTTGTTCATTCTCATAATAAAGGTACTCCAAAGATAACTGTAGTACTTGTTAAAGCTGCATTTCAGTATATCATTATAGAACTAACACCTTTTCAGTACAAATTTACACACAAATAATGTTTCGATTTCTTATAACCGTACGAGATTTGTAAGTTAATTAATGTTCCTAAATGTTGCTATTTTCCAATACGAAAACTCCAGAGACTATTTAATCCATTCAGATATAATGTTAAGAACTAAATACGAAATAAAGTACGTTCCACTGTAGAATATTTACTATATTACCCAAATTATGAGGGAACCTTTACCGAATTTAAGTTATTTACCCATAATTCCCAATAAATATTAGAAAACGCGCAATTATATATACCTAAAAATGAGTCTTATCGGCTGTTGATTAACAATAAGAGGGTAAACGTGAAATACACTTTTTCCAACCTTATCAGCATACACACAAAAATCACGAATCATTTTGCACAATCAGCTCTTTAACACTGATTCAACTAACTTTAATTAACTTTCAGTTAGGATATTTGAAAGTTAAGCATATTTATGTTACATATTATTAAATTAGTCCAAGCTTTATTGGGAGAAAATGAAATAAAATATCCCGTACTCACTCATTAGGAACAGTAAAACTGTTTATTTTTTGGTGGCATGTTTAATGATAGATATGAAATAATTACCAAATGAAATTGTCAACATTTTAATTATTAAACAATAAAAAGATCAAAGTATGTGAATGTAAAAAAAAAAATAATAAGAGGAAGATGAAAGCTAAAATATTGTGAAAATCAATTGCAGATGGGTAAACAATAGAAGAAATTATGGAATAGAATCTAGTGTCTCTCAGTCATTGTTGGCATCTACAACAACCATTCAGAACATGCACAGACTATTGCTCTCTGGCGGCAGAGTATAGAATATTCTCTAGAATATCCTAAAGAGAGCGTGGATCAACATAATCAAAAATTCGGTATCATGTCACAACAGCCTGCTGATGTTCATAACGACACAGAACCCTTTCCATACAGGATGCAACATGTGCGTGACTCCGCATGTTGCAATCCGGTATGATGTCACGAACAGGAGGAAACATGTTGTAACGCGTCCTTGATAACTCAGCAGCAGCACTTTCCCTGAGCGTCTCATAAGCTTCGCCCTCTGTGTCCCCCAGGAGTGTTCAGGGTCATGAGCCTCAGAACCTCATGATCCAGAAGTGACATATTCTAACTACTTACGCTACTTGGCAACAAAAGACACATAGCTTCCAATCACTGTTGCTTTTTTTTTTTTCCAAGCAAAAGTGGGAAAATTCTATGTTGTTCAAGGCTTTTCTAGCATTTATAAACCAAAATTATCTTGAATTTAGAAGCTAAAGTTTTAAAATATACCAACATTAAATTTACATGTTCTTTTGGTCCAAATGGTTAACTATTATTATTGTTTTAAGATAAATTTATCTGTGATATATTTCTGCCTTCAATGTTATCTGTACGATATTTAAGTGGAGATGTTCCTGGTATTTCAGTTCATTTTATTAACGGTATTGCACTTATAATACCTTTTTTCAGAAATTTCATTTCATTTTATTAACAGTCATATTTGAAAGTTTTCTTTCTCTATTTACTCTATGCTAACTTGTTTTATCCTTTCTTTAGACCGTAATCGTCGCTGGATAGGGTACCCGTAATTGTCACTGGCACGAAATCTATACAGATTTTCGAATGTACTAATTCTTATGTCATCCTTTCCATTTAACAAGTCATTATGGCCATCTTGCTGAAATACTCGTTGTTTTGTTAATCAATGCGGCAGACTTTTCTGTAAAGCGTTTTGCAACGCTGGAAATGATCTGCGATTTTTTTTTTTTTTTAATTCTTACTGTCGATTTCTTAGTTCTGTTTTTTATCGTTTCGGTGTAAAATTGCATATGAGTAAAATCTTTGAGAGAAATCTATGTTTCTACAGGATGAACAAAATATTTTTTAAATCTACAGTTTGGATACCGTAAACAATTTGCGCATCATAGTGACGTTACTTTTTACCTCTGTAACGTTGTAGCACTGATTATGAAAAATCTTGTAAATAAGGATTCCATCAAAAAGACAGTTTTCGATACAGAAGACATACTTGTGTATATATGTAATAAATTCTGTAACTATCTTGATGATTAGAAGACGGTTGCATATGACATTCGCAGATAAACGTAGCCGAAGACAGAACATAATTTCTGGACACTTAATTCTTGCGATACATATTCCCAATCACATATAATTGTGGATGCAAGACGCACCCCGCAATTTTATATATTAACTTATCACAGCTTTAGATAATGGCCAAGACAGAGATGAATAGTACGTGCTGGAAGAGCAAGAGGAATGCGGCAAAACAAATGGCTCATTCAGCAGCAGCGAGATATATAGTCAAATAGCAAGAAGTTTCTTTAATCTGATAGGGAAAAAAAAAATCCGCATTTGCTACGCTAACATCAAACGCGGATTAATTTAGAGATATTATAAATAGGTAGTAGCTTCAGGGCAGGAAGGGATGTAGCCAAATTAAAATGAGAAATAAAAGGGCTATTACCAAATTAAAGTTATTAGTTCACTACAATTTCTTAAATTTAGAAAGAGGTATTTTTTGGCGTGAGGTTATAAACTTTTTTTTAAATATATTTTTACTATATTTCACACATACAACATTTAAATTTTGAGCAGAAATCTTTGAAAAGTTTTGGCCAAAAACGTATAAGCAAATGCGAATTCAATGAAAAACCTCACATCAATGGGGGAAGAAAACTGAATAATATTTTAACTTTTTTTTTCTAGTTATAGTAGCAAGGAGATTTATATTTTCAAGACTAGCGAAAAGTTGGCTTTTCTCAATGAAAAACATAAGACACTATATACATTAATTCTGCAGTGTGTTCCTTTCAAAATGTTGTCTATTAAATTTTCAGAGAATTGTTATTTTTTCCCCTTTACAATTCCTTAAGGATACACATAAGTGATCCAAAGAATCAAAACCGTAGAGAGCTATGAAATTAACTATTATGATCATAAACTCTAACATGAACATATCAAGATTTCGCTAAAGAGTAATAGTTTTAAATAGATAAGATACGGTATAAAAGTATACTTAGCTGTTTGCACAGTTTTCAAAATGTGCGAAATTATTTAACATTATGTGAGTTTTCTTAATTTTTTTCAGATATAAGTTTAGTTTTTTGATACTGGTTATCAAATTATTTTAATTTATTTTTCAATTATATTGATGTATTATTATTATTTCGATAAATTTGTTTCAGGATTATATTAATGTTATAGTAAGTTGACTTTTCATGTTGAATTTTAATGATTTATTTTTGTATCCGCTACATTTTTTCCACCTAGAAATACTTTTATATATATTTCAAAAGCCAATAAAATATTTTTTGTATATCTTTTTAGAAGAATTATACTTTATATTCTCACCGAATTTGAGTTAGCTAGAGAGATGAGATAGATAAGGTACAATGACCCATCCATTATAAACTTCATATTGTTCAAGTGTTGCGTTGCCTTTACTGTGTATACTGATACAATTTAACAGTATCACGAAGCCTATAATTTGATAAAATGGTACTTTTTCGTTTAAAATGTGATTATCAAGTATCTTAACGCTACCAGTCACTTAAGATGACCAGTTTTCTTATTGGTGGAAACAGATACAAGGTAATTCCCAATGGCTCTGCGCTTATTTAGTTTTATTCTTTGCATCTACATGATTTTCATCTCTACCAGTAAAAGGTTTTCTTCTGTTTACTACCTCAAAAGCACATTTACTTTAATCGAATTTAAGGTTTTCAGATAAGTCAGATTAATGGCTCAATTTACATTTCTTTAGCCTTTTTACCCGTATGCCTTGTAAGCATATTATTTTCTAATCAATTAATAATATGAAATGACAAAACAAGAAATATTAACGCTGTTTGCATAAAATATCGTCTATCACAGTGTTACTTTGCTTCGTAAATGATATTAAAATATATACTTACAAAATCATTCACTTCTTTCGCAAATTTTAAACTGGTGTATGCAGAATCTGCGTATTCCTTCCTAGAATTTGAATATCATATTAAAATTGAATAAACTAAAGAAAATAATGAATAATAAGTAGCTCCCTAACTGACCACAAATTTTTAAATTAGAACTTCTTTTTTCAAGAAATGAAAATGAACAGAATAACAGATAACTAGTTAAAATAATCGAATCTCAGTTACTCTGCAGTTGAAACCATTATGGTTATGAAATGCAAGCTACATTTTTATCTATAAATAATTTGAGCTCAGATATTTTTATCACGCATGGTTTCACCATTGAAATGTTTAGTCTTTTATTTTATCTGTAAGAGCTGGAACGAGGTTATCACACTTCCTATTTATTATTAGCGATGTTTAGGCACCAAGAAACAGCGGCAATTTTCATAAATTTGCATTTCTAATGAAAATTACCGCTCATTCTTATTGTCCCAATGTCTTTAATAACTGGTATTCAAGTATTATTTTAACTTGAACTTCCTATCTGATCAGACCTTTTCTGTCCGAATGGATAAGACCACTAAGCACTACTAACTCGAATGTTCCTACTGCAAAAATAATGGCTGTGTGGAGTTTTTCATATGTGTAACATGAATATCAGCCAGTTTCCCTTAGAGAATCCTTCACAAAGGCATCCCTTCTAAGGCAAAATAACTGTCTCTCGTGATCATAATCAATTAAGCAACCAACTATAAGTCATGTATAAATATATCCTTCCAAAGAGAAACAAATAAAATTGAGGGGGTGCTCCGAGAGCCGCCCACGAAAGATATGGCTATTTTACTGCTTGCTTCATGGTAACTTAACTGTTTTGGAGTGACCAGTAAAGCACTGGGTTGGAGACTAAATGGTTCGAAATTCTTTTTTCTGCAGCAGCAGGCTAATGAACATACACTTCACATGTGTTCTCTATTGATATCGCCTTTAAAATAACTATCTAATTATATAAATCAAACTGTGAAGCAATTAGTTCAGGATAATAATTACAGATGGCGCCACGAGATTGGAGAGGTCAACAACAGCTAGCGACTGCAAAATTTTGAATGATCCGCGTAAAATTTAAATCTGTGCAGAAAACATGTATTACGAATAAAGGATGAAAACAACAGGGTATCGATATATTAGAACTGAAATTTTTTTTAAATGATTGATAAGTTATTCTAAAAGTATGGTCAAAATTATGTAAACGCTTTTAGTTTGCCCTTTGGACAGCTAATGATGATTTTATTTAAATGGCGCATTTATACTTCTGTCCACTATATTCTAATTCTAAAAGTAAAATATTACTTTTAGAAGTTTTTGACTTATTTGGGAATACTCAGGAATTCAGAAATGCATAATACAGCAAAATTACTCAGGTATTTTCATTATGAGGATTTATGTGATATCTTATTATGATATCATGTAACTTTTTAATGACACTTGTAAAAATAGGGCTTATCTATCCTTAAAGCAAACAGTGTATATTTGCCTTTTAAATAAAAAAAAAAAAAATTTGTAAAGTTATCTGAACATGTGAGTTTCTCAGGAGAACTGTCGAACTTCAAAATATTTTCAAACTGCTCAGTATTATACCTAAAAGATCTAATTGATTAATTGATTCAAGATTCATCCTTAAATGTAATCAGAATTGAGACATTTTTTACTACATTTGTGAACTGAGACATTTTTTACTACATTTGTAAAGAGACTTTTCTTTTTTTTTTTAACACTCTAGTTTAACTTACGAATAGATGCATATGATCTTGGCATCACCGATTTCGACCATATTCTGTATCATGGTAGAAGATTTTACAGTGAATGTATGTGTGAAGAGAGAACTCACAACTTTAAAAAAATAAACGGAAAAAAAAAGGGGGCTGGGTTTTCAAGTAACATTCATATTATTTAAATTCTTTCCTTGTCATCATGCGCCGAAAACCTTGCGCGGCATCGCGTGGAGCTACCAACGAGAAATCCTCAGGCCGAACCCAGCTGCCGGCAACGGATTTTTCCAAATCTGTCTTATTAATTTATTTAATGGTATTTTGTTTCGAAAGAAAGTTCATCTATGAAAATATTTTAAGGGAATAACGCATAAAGGGCACAATGTACCGAGTGGCCATAATTAAACTGACAGTGCTCACAATGTTCTGTAGCGCGATCTATTTGCGAGAATGACGCCACATTTTGTAGGAAGATTAAACAAGACGGGGGGGGGACAAAGGATTCCGCGAAAAAAAAATAGTTCCAAAAGTCACCGCTAGGGGAATATTTGGCGCTGTGTAATAGAAAATAGAGTGTTAACAAATGCAAATTAATAAGGAATAAAATTACCTTTTATTATGGATATGCCTTACAGTACGGTATGGAAAATCTTACGAAAGATTATCAACTTCTATCCGTACAAGATCAGCCGTGTACAGGAGTTACTGTACCCCGACCATGATAAGCAATTGACGTTTGCTCTCACCTTTCTTGCCAGAATGGAGGTGGATGATGCTTGGCCGTGATGGATGATCTTATGGGGAGACGAAGCCCACTTTTACCTGAATGGAACTGTGAATACCCAGAACTGCCGAATTTGGGATGACAAATCACCACATGCAGTCACAGAAACTCCCTTACATTCACCAAAGGTACTTGTTTGGTGTGAGTTCACAGCGGAATTTATCGTAGGTTCATTCTTCTATGAGAACATTACCCCGACAGGAACGGAAACCTGTTCTGTTACCGGAGAGAAATATCGCCACATGTTGAACAGCTTTGTCATTCCGGCACTTCAGCAAAGACAATGCCTGGGGGAAATCATTTTCATGCAAGATGGAGCCCCTCCACACGTTGCTGTACGGGTGCAACAGATGCTACGACAGAAATTCACAACAGAAAGAGTCATTAGCCGCTACTTTCCAACTGCATGGCCACCTCGGTTACCCCATGCGACTTCTGGCTATGAGGTTACCTTAAGTCCAAGGTCTATCAAGGAGTGGTCCCGGACCTGGCTACCTTGAAGGATAACATGTCACGGACTGTTCGGGAGATTCCTGCAGACATGTTACTTTCTGCTGTTGTGCATACTGTGCACAGAATGCAACTGTCCACAACAACGGCAGCCACATTGAACCTCATTTGAATGCAAAATAAAAGGTAATTTCCGTATTGATTTGCATTTGTTAACACTCTATTTTTTATTACACAGCGCCAAATATTCCCCTAGCGGTGACTTTTGGAACTAATTTTTTTTTTTTTCGTGGAATCCTTCGTCCCCCGTCTTGTTTAATCTTCCTACAAAATGTCGCGTCATTCTCGCAAATAGTAGATCGCGCTACAGAACACTGTGAGCACTGTCAGTTTAATTATGGCCACCCGTTATATAGCAGTGACTTTTATGAAGATTACTGAAAATACGCTTTTTCCTTAAAAACTTTTAAGTGGGCTCGTTGCCAATGTTTTATACTTCGGACATTTTTATCATAAACACTACTTATTAACTACATATAAATTTGAAGAAGAAAAAATAAATTCGAACAAAATTAATAAAAAAATCTGCATTGTTGTCTAATTTTTGTAGTGCTTTATTTCTCCAGAAATATTTACCATGAATAAATGGTCTCTCTTAAAAATAAAATAACACCTACATAAAAATGCTGCTCTGCTTAGAAGTTAGGATGCAATTTATAGTTCCATATGATGCAGTCGGCGCGTGCTGGTAAGAAGTTAATTTAAATAACATGAATGTTACTTAGAAATTAAACCTCGATTTCTGTTCACTTCTGAGAGGTGAGCTCTCTTTCTTTGCAAATATGGCCGTTCCTAGGCCATTCGCTCCCCGCGTACTTTCCTGAGATTGCCTCTCCCAAATTTAAAAAAAAAAAAAAAAAAAAAAATGCTGAATGATTAATAAAATTTAATTTCATACTCACTGAGTCCCTACATATGACAAATTGTACATATGCAAGTACTTACAATGAAATTTAGGCGTAATATCGCGAGAATCCGGACGCTCTTGATTTTGGCCCCCGAGATCTGTTAAGCCAAGTTTCTGTTTTCCTTTATTAAGCCAAAGCTCGATTTAGGCTGAATGAATATTAAACGTTTTTGATTAAAATTAAAACTTTTAACACTGAGGTATAAATACTAAATATTTAATGACAAAATTTAAATAGTAGGTTTCTGTTTGTAAATGTTTTCAGTAAAGTAAATTGTCAAAAACAAAGAAGTAAAAATTGGGTGATATCTAGCTACGAAAGTTGATGATTCACGACAGTAATTGCGATTCGAATTTTCAGAAATTTTTCGGAGGCGACAGTTTAAAGAAACTGATATCCGGTCGTGCTGGATTTTTGTGAAATGTGTGTAAGAAAACTTAAAATATCCCTACAATAGCCCAAGAACAAAAACAATATGCCGTGACTCCTGAGTCCTGAGAGTAAAAATAATGTCACAGTATGACATAGAGTAAGTCTCACTTTGCTCTTAATTCTTCTTTAAGTGATGACCATTCATTTTGAGCCTGGCTCATCTTCTTTTCTATTCTTGCAGCAGATAGCTCATGTCTTTGTGCTAATGATCTTGCTTCTAAATCGTGTTGCTGAAAATAATAATAATAAAAAAATTTTTTAAACATTTACAAATTAGTCTTATTGAATCACAAGATATGCCATTAGAAATGTTTAAACACTTAAAATGCTCTTACTTTTATCTTATCCTCCAGAGCAGTCAGATCTTGCGTCATTCGATCCAGTTTTCGCTTCATGTCTTCCACTACTTTTAATTCTTTGGTTTCTTCTCTAGTAGATAGTATCAGCGTCTATCAAAGAAGAAAATACATTTGAATTTAACTTATTCGTAATATAGTCTCTATTGTTAAGAAAAGCAGATTAACTTCGATTATTAGTCATTTATTTTCAAAAAGTGTAAGAAAGTTACAAGAAAATTCCCTATTTTAAGGGGAAAGACAGAGAATGGTAGCAAAGAAAACTTGAAAGTTCTTTCTATCTTCCTTTGGTTTTGAAGAAAGAGATTATTGATAGTGAAACTTGAACGAAGGGATTTTTCTTCTCGTGAAAAAGGATTTGAAATTATTCATGCTCTGAAAGCAGAAAAAGTACTACTACTACTATAAATAGGTATGTAAAATTTTTTAAAAGTCGAAGTTGTATAGCTCGTCCATCATTAATCCGAATATGAGGTTCTTAAGCAGTTTTTCAGAAAATCTATTAACTTCTTGGAATTAAATTTCCTAAATTACCAATCTTTCAAACACACGTGAAGAATGCTTTTAATAACTTAGGTTATTCAATTAAATTTTTTGCTGTTGGTAGATACATCTGCTGGAAACAGCATCTTGAGAGAATGCATTTCTCATGTGCTGTAACGCAGTTCAAAAAATTTAAATAACTAGGCCTGATTTTTGAAATGGTTTAATTTTGTCAACATATTATATTTCAATAATCTTCTTCTTCATATTGAATTTTAGGGACTGTGCAATTGAATTTTAATTTACAGTCGAATCACACGATATTAAATGTCATGAAATAGTCTTACTTTTTCTCTTATCCATTCGATCGTATCATCTACATCCTTAATGAACGCGTGTACGCAAAGTGCATTTTCTAATTTTTTTCTGTAATCCCTCATCTCGTGTTTCAGTTGCTCCCACCTGCAATAAAATATATTTGTTGCTAAATTATTTATTTGTTACAAGCAAAAACTATATCTTAAATTATTCTATATATCCTATTTCCATTAATTTAATTATTTTTTAACTGATGTTTTAAACTTGTTTGAAATGCAAATTAGTCGAACAGTCTGGAAGATTGAAATGAATCACCATTCGGTTCTATACTAATTTCGTATCTTTTTAAAATTGGATCTTTGCATATAAGTGCATACAGATTTAAAAAAAAAAAAAAAGTATTTAGCGTCAATTTAGTGTCAGTGGGTAAGCATTAAGCGACTAAATACTATTGCAATCTTCAGCTGCATTCCTTTATTAAGCCAAATCGAATGCAAAGTATCGCAAACAGAAAACGATATCACTATTTTTTCCATTCCTTGTACAGATCACGCACTCCGAAATTGAACAAAAGAGGAAAATAACGAAGAGAAACAAAGCAAGTGGTGCCATCATGGGGTGAAAAATGGAAACCGGTTTAAGAGTTGGTATGCTTATAGATTGATGGAAAGTATTGATTACGACACAAGTCACTGATTAATGTACAGAGTATGAAAATCCTCAGAAGATGTAATTTACCTAATCAGAAAGCTTTTTTTAGATGATTTTGGTAGAAGCAAACCCAATTTATAAGTCTTCAGGCGTATAGTGACGTGCAATTGGATGATTTATTGGTTTATTTTTCGACAATATAATCTTCATATTCCTTGACGCAAAATTTTAAAGCCAGTTTTTCTCGCTTCGTATGTAAATCAATGGTTGCGGAGCTTATTTGATTAGATTCCCCAGTGCAAATTTTTAAAAACTTAAATTTTGTTCGTTTCGATTTAGCACTGATAGATAATAAAGAAAGGAAAATTATTGCTGCTATAAATTTCATGTTTTCATGGTCATGGTCTTCCGAACTGCAAAAATAACATTCTGAGTGATTTATGATGTTTTATGTAAGCTGACCTCTACTTCGTAAAGCATATTTTCAATTTTTAATTATTACTGTAAATGTCATGTAGTCTGTAATGACGCTACAGGTATATAGTGGTCTCCAGACTTTCGGGAAGATTGCAGTCAGCTTTCTAAAAAAAAAAAAAAAAAAAAAAGCATGGCATTTAAAAAAAAAAAGTTTTTAATTGATCTTGAAAATATTTTGAGTAAGAATTCTTTTCTGCTGAGAATCTGGGAAATCAGAAACTTGCTTCGATTCCTTTTTTCCTGATTTTGATTATGCGACCTTCTCAGAGTGCAATATTTCCTAACTAATTTATCTGATCGAAGTTAAACTTCGCAAAATAATCTATATCATATAATATATGTATGATATTCTGAGTGATAACTAAATTAATACAATATATGAAATTTTAAAACACACGACTTTTTTTTAACTGTATTAAAGAAAGCTAATATATTACATCGCATTTTGCATTGCATTCTTGCAATGGATGCTTTTATATAAAGTTTAGTCACCAATACCTTTCCTCAATTCTTTCGTATCGAATATATATTCCTTTCTGATCCTCTTTTCTTGAAAGCTTTATGGCGAGATTTCTCATTTCTTTCATTAAGGTTTCGTCCACTTTTGCCTCCTAAACAGAAAGAGAAATTTCATTTTATTTATAAACTTTCCCTACATTTCTAGAAATTTTATTAAAAACCGCTTTAGATTTGTATTTTTCACGCTAAAAATAGGCCTTTCAATTGATGTAAACTTGGTCAGTTATATTTCTTAACTCATTGCTATTTTATCTTCTGTGAAGTGAATGACTTAGAAAAAAGCAACTTATTTAAAAATAAATTTACATAATAATGAGTATAATCTCTTTATTGATTAACAGTTAAACCGCCTCACATTTCAAGAAAAAATACACCACTTCTACTGACAGCTGTAGTACTAAATTGACTGTCATAATAAAATATTTATACTTAATTTTACGTAAATACTGTGTACTGGCGCCGATAAATTTTTACATAAATACTCAACACATCATGAAATCAATGCAATACATTACTATATTAATTGTAAGTACTCTAAAACCTCAATAAAGCAATTAGAAAATATTTTATTTTTAATAGTTATTAAGAATTAGAAAACCTTTGTCAATAATGAAATAATAGTAATATAGATTATTTCTTTCGTCCGAGTTCATTGATATAGAATTTAACAAATTTGATTCCTAAGCCCAAACGTACCAAAGCAGCAGATTACAGTTTAGTTGTTAACTTAACGCAGAATTGAAAATATTGGTTACACTCATGGATTTATATTATGAACGGGAAGAAACAGTACAAATTCTAAACTTACATGGATGGATATAAGAGGCCAATAATGATTGTTCTAGGTAACTTAAGACGCTATAAGAGCGACAAGTTAATAATCGATTGTAACTTAACACGTTAACAGCGGCATAGTTATAACGTAGCCGGTATTAGCGTGACATAATTAATAATCGACCGTAACTTAGCAGGGTAAAATAAAGGTAAATAAGGTCGTAAGGGTTTAAAATGAAAAAAAATAAGGTATTCGAAACTATACGTACAGTATTTAAATCGTCTAGTTTTGTTTGAAGTGCAATGCAATGTTCATAATCTTTCCCAGTATCATTTGCTTGGATCATAAGTTCCTGGAAAAAAAGGAAAAGGAATTCAATTCAATTAAAAACTGATAAAAATCACAAAAATTCATTGAATATTGCTCATTAACTTAACACAGTTATGAAACAGCATTGCACACTGGCCACGTTTTGCAAATTAAAGGTAAACTTTTTTTTTTTTTTTTCCGAATTACTTTTAAAGACACAAGCAGACAAAGGTTTTCTTTAATCACTGCGCAGGAAATTCAGAAAATTCCGGAGTATTGCGGTAATTTTATATTTTCTTCACATTTTCTGAAAACGATACCAGAAACACGTTACATTCGGTTTCAAATATAATTCAAGTAAATTGTATCATATTATCATACTCATACACAGCAGATCGCAGAAAATCGACATTCCGGAAAGTATTAATAGCAAAGCTGAAAATGATTTCTATATGTCCTTGTAAAGAATAGTGATAGAGATAAAAATGACCTCTACGTAAAACAGTGAGCTTTACGAAAGATGTAAAAAAATTCTTCATGTATTTCTATGCCAGAGAATTTCCACAGGACAGGGAGATTTGAGAAAGCACTGAAATGTCTTTCAAGTCTTATAAAACTGAAAGTAGTTTTGCCACGCTTTCGAACTCTCAAAGCAATGAATCGCAAAAATTTCTTATGAGAACTGTATAAGGTAGTCCCGCCTTCTTAGCATGCCTTCGTGGTGTAGTGGTTAGCACACTCGACGCGTATTCGAGAGGTCCGTGGTTCGAGTCCCGGGGCGGGTATTGCTCATTTTTCATCTCTCCTGCTTCGAAATAACCTAATGTCCCTACAATGGTGCCCGAACCAAAAATGTGGTGAATGATGATTCTTCACCACCAGCGATTTAGCGATTGGGTCCTCTAAAACCCCAGTCTCCCTTTAAAAGGCGGAAACTATAAGGTATTTCTCCCGCTTTCTTAGCATGTCTTTGTGGTTTAGTGGTCAGCACACTCGATGCTTATTCGAGAGGTCCGTGGTTCGAGTTCCGGCGAGAGCATTGCTAATTTTTCATCTCTCTTGCTTCGAAATAATTTTAAGTATAACTGTAAAAGCTCATTTTTAAAAACTCCTAAAATGATGTAAATGTTTGAAATAATTATAATATACATAAACCATAGCTCATTTTAATTTTTTAAAACTAAATCAATGGAATTAAATTCCTGATTAATCAGACACATTCCTTTTGTTATTACGAATGTCAATCAGTTAGGGAAAAAACTTGATGCCATTGCTAAGTCTGTCGCACTTCATCCACCTCTGCTCAGTCTAACTAAAAAGACATCGAAGTTCGAAAAGTAGTCCCTCATTATTCAAAATCAAAATTATGCATTTTTTTTGGGGGGGGGAAGGGCATTATGGTGGGCGGTAACTCATCACCATTAATAACTGGGTGCCACTAATATCTCTCCTTAGTCAGTGGTGTTGCTCCATCCGCCATTTAAGTACGGGAAAATGTAAGGAATTACAGCATATTTCCTTGCTTACTCTGGTGTTGAAGCATTCAACTAGAATTTTTCCCTCCATCAATGGTGAGCACAAGCCATTATAGGTGTTGGCCATTACTATAGCCAGAAACGGTGGTCACTTTATTATGGAGTCACCTAACAGGTGGGCTACTGTTGCCTCAGTGAAGGGACACATAATTTACATCCATGCCTTCTCCGGAATTCGAACCCGGGTTATTCGGTACGGTAATCAGAGTTACTGATTACTTTCCCATCTGGGCGGCTCAACTACCAAACTGGAAGATCCGGCATTCAAAATCCGTTTTTCTAATAACCCTTAGCGAAAATACGGTTGGTCTCCTTTGTTTCCGCAAAGTGGTATATTAAAATAATTTTAAACGTAATGCACACACAACAAGAACTGAGTCTTAGTTAACTGACTTGCAAGCCTCTCTGTAGATCATGGTTTCATGTCCTGATTGAAGTGCAATGACGTGTAACATCATGGAACATAGCATCCAATAATGTTCCGAAATAGAATTCCAGTCAAATTCTTTGTTCCAGTCATGTAAAATTAAGGGCATTAGAATATGTAATATCTTTGATTAAATGTGCATTGAAAATTTAACTTTTAATGTTTTATATCGTAAATTAAAATCACTCCTAAAGTTTGAAGGCCAGGGAAAGTTAGAGTTATGAAGAGTTATGGCTAGAAACGGGCACTGGCGCATTTTAGCGTTGGAAAAAAACAGACAGCTACCGACACGCATACCCTGTTCATTCAATGTTTACAGTAACAGATCTGCATATGTGCATGTAATTTGCATTTTCCATGTGCATGTACGTTTATGTTTCTCCAGCTAATGAAAGTTTTCTCGATTTTTCTTTGCTAAATATTTCATATGCCTACTGTTTTGAGTCTTCCCTCTTATGCGGATCAGGGAAGTGGCGGAATAAAATGCACACGGGTAACACTTGTATACTCTTGCGTCCCACCTAGCAGAGTTATGTTCAGGGTCACATCGGTAGTAATACTGTTTCTGAAGCATTATTAGCAGCATTGGCTGAGTTGAGGAAACTGGAAGGTTAGGTTAGATAATTTGAATATGGCAAGTGAGCTTGAGGATTATCTGCCTAGAGCATGGGATGTCTTCGTGGAATACTTTCTAAGGAGACTTGCTCGTATTATCATTAAACCTGATGAAAACCATCCATGAAGCCAGCCCGTTCACGCGTTTGAACACATGAGCTCTCTGCATTCAGCAGTCTTAAGTCGTTGGTTTGGCAAGGCGACCATAATATGTCTGTTTAAAATAAATTTCAGCTACGTTTTTATATGTCGTTTTACTTTAAATAAACTGCTTGCAAAATTATATAAAATAAACATTTATATTAAATTGTTTCTGTATATATATATTAAATAAACTTTGCACTGTAGGCATTGGGTGAATTGCTTATGTGTGTATCGGTAACCATCTGTTTCTCACCAAGGCTTAAAAGCGCCAGTTCCCGTTTTTCAACAATGTCGCTATAAGCACCAAAAGTAATATCTCTTAAAAATGTTACACTTTTCATTTTTTCATTTTTGACAAGACTACGTTATTCTCCCAGTTGATATTAAAAACATAAAGACTGCAGTGCATATCCAAGCAAACATCTGTGCTTCTAGAAATGGAATTCTTAATCAAATGTATTCGCGTTACATCTGTCGAGTCGTCAAATTCTTTTTACCCCTGCAAATGCTTGCCTTGGAAATCTTACGCTTAGAATGGAGATCTAAAACTTACGTATCTAACTCTTATGCCTGGAGATTTTTACGCGTATGGAATCTTAACTCAGGTTTCGTAAAATATTTATGCATAAAACCGAAAAAACAGCCAAATCTCTGAGACCACGTTTTCAACTCATTTCGTGGCGACGTCTATTGATCATACGGAAATTTTTAAATCTGTTTTATTTTATTAAGATTTTAATCTTAACTTGATATTTTTTATTAATGTTATGTATTAATCGTTATATTTTTTTTTAAGCTTAAGTTGTTTTGCTTATTTCAGTTTTGATTTGTAATTGAAGTTCTATTTTTTTTTTTTTTTTTTTTTTTTTTGTTGTTGTTGTTGTTGTTTAAAGTGGGTTGTAAGTTTAAATTGTAACTTTTGTAAACTTTAAGTTTTGGTTAGGTTGTTTTTATAAGTTCTGAGTTGAAGTTGTTTAATTTTAATTTGAGTTTAGGGACTTGGATTTTTGTTTTTGTTCTAGTTGTTTTCACCCTTAAGGTTGTTTAACTTTTAACTTTAATTTTTTTTTATTTTAAAACTTGTTGTTGCCACCTTTGTGTGTTAATTTTTTTTTTTAACTTGGAGTAATTTAATTGGTATCCCTCTTTCTTTAACGTTAAACGAATACATACTTTCTGACTGGCGGTAGAAGAAAAAAAAATTTGATTCTATTTGTATTTCTTTTGGATAAATTGTTTTTAGTCTCAATTGGTGGCTGAGGAAAACAATTATTACAGTGCTGACATTTTTATTATGAATTATAATGTTGTGTAATTAGTAGCTTCATATTTTTTTAATTTACCCAAAGTCATTTTGTATTAACTTAGTTCAGAGATTTTCACCCCTTGCCCTCTTTCCTTCAGCGGAAAATTCTTATCAGCAATTGTACTTGCACCCCAAAATTCCTTTCTGCTAAGCGTTCCACCATGTGTGGGGGGCGAAAGTGCTTGATAGTTTTACCATGTGGGTTTTCACGAAAAGAGGACCCTGTTTTGCTGGGACCAGGCTAGCAGGGTGATGTTCTACAGCATACTTATGGTGGGGGAAAATATTCGTTGACACAGAAGATCTGCATTATCGACTAGGGACCCTGGAGCGAGGCTAGTTTCTTCCCCCTTGTTTCCGCCTGCAGTTGTGATGACACATTGGTGTGGGCCTTGGAAGTTGAACGATGGAATGGATGGAATGGCGAGAAAACGGCTCCTTTTGATAGTCGGCAAACCCTTTTCCCGTGAAGATCCAGAGTGTGGGTTGCCTTTTTTGGGCTTCCTGCTAGTCAACATCTACGGCCAAGTTTTCAAAAAACGCGCCAGCTACTAAAAGGCTGCGCGTGTTTTCGAGAGGGATTTCAGGAAAACTCGTGTACACGGGTTCTCATGTTTCAAGAACCAGATTGGCCTTCTTCGATGCGAAAGTACGATTCAGAAACTCGCAAATGCAATATGAGTGTCCTCCGCGCAAGACAGAATTTTCTCATTGTCAGTCGCACGTGAAGGTTGTCTTAGCACGGCTCTCGGTTTTACCAAGTCGATTTGATTTTTCTTCTGCGATCAGTTGTTAGCACATAAAAGGTTGCTCACCGGTCTTAAGTGACCAAAGAGTAGTAAAAAGGCCTTAGTGCGATTTTACTGATTCTTTGCATCTATTTTTCCCTGATGACTGAACTGGTTTAAGGACTTGATCAACATGTCACTGGTCAAACTAATTTTCGCTCGATATGCGGAATTAACTTCCAAAGAGAAGGATTTACCTTTGACTGAGGATGAAAGAATTGATCTGGA